GTGAGGGCTGGAGGGGTGGAAGCCTCTGGGTGGCTGTTTGCTCCCCCCCCCCTTTTTTTTTTTTTAAATATATTTTTATTGATTTTTTACAGAGAGAAAAGGAGAGGGATAGTTAGAAACATAGATGAGAGAGAAACATTGTCAGCTGCCTCTTGCACACCCCCCCCCCCCCACTGGGGATGTGCCCACAACCAAAGTACATACCCTTGGTATGAACCCAGGACTCTTCAGTCAGCAGGCCGACACTCGACCCACTGAGCCAGACCAGTTTCGGCTGTCTGCTCCTGTTTATTTTTCTTTTTTAAAAACTACCATTTTGTATACTTTATTGAGTTTTTACAGAGAGGAAGGGAGAGAAATAGAGAGCTAGAAACGTCGATGAGCGAGAAACATTGATCAGCTGCCTCCTGCACCCCCCCCCACTGGGGATGCGCCCACAACCAATGTACATGCCCTTGACCGGAATCGAACCTGGGACCTTTCAGTCCGCAGACCGACGCTCTACCACTGAGCCAAACCGGCTTCGGCTCTGCTCCTGTTTTGTCTTCCCAGCTCCCACGTGAGCCATCTATGCAGGCAGTTAGCACGGGTGCTCTGGGGTTGGTTTGAAGGGATTTGTGGGGAGGGTGTGGTGCCTCAGCCTTCCCCGCTGGAATCATGGCCTTGAAGGTGGATTTTGTGCCCTTGAGGCTCCTTGGAAGGAGGAGGGGAACAGGTAGATCTGGTGTGGAAGCAGCATCCATGGGGACAGCTGAACAGGGAACTTGCCAATTACGGTAATTGTCTCAAAAAAGGTGACCTTTTTCTCTGCTGCCAGGAATCAGGATTCAGGTAAAGGTTTGGGCTGGTCAGATGCATCTCTAAAGATTAAAGGATTGGGGAGAAAAAGCAAAAAAGCCGAACACAGAGGAATCTGTTTACCCTTTAAATCACCGAGTTCACTATTGCTGAACCTTAAATTAAAATGCTTCTCTCAAAGGAAAATCACACGGCTTTTCTGGGGTTTAACTTGCAGACTTTGTGTCTAAAGGTCACTTAGCAAACAGCATAAATGCGATGGTAAAGTGCAGGGTGGACAGAGGGCTGAGACCTCCCACTTGACAGAATTGGGGGCACAGGTAGGCTCTCCCTCCCGGGGAGCTGGGCCTCTCTGCACATGTTGATGTGAGAAGAGTGCAATTCTCCATGTGTTTTGAAATAGACAGTTTTAAAGAGCCTGATGTCTCCTTGGAGAATACGTGACATATACAGCGTTCCTATGCCTAGCCCCAATGTCAGAGTACTTCAATTTAGTGGATCAATACTTTTATTGGGAATCTTATATTGGGCCAGAATGACAGACTTTTAGATGTAATGCAGGACTTTCCACCCATCCACCTACTTGTTCATCTATCCAACTACCCCTCTATCTATCCACCTATCTATTCATCTATTATCCTTCCTTCCACCACCCTTCCATCAACCCAATCATCTGCCTGCCAACCATCCATCCACATACTCACCTATTCATTCATCCATCCCTCCATCATTTGTCCATTCATAATCCATCATCCACCTACCCATCCATTCTACCTTCCTCTCTCCCTCCCTTTCTCTCCATCCTCCTTCTATCCACCCACCTACCTTTTTTTCAACTATCCACCCATCCACCAAACATCCACTTACTCACTCGTTCATCTAAATACCCACCCACCAACTCGTCCATCTGCAAATATAGAGTGTCCCCCAAAATGTATACACACACTTTGAATAATTATAAAAATAGTGTTTATTAAAATACATTTCATCTTCAAAATTGAGCTATCAGCTGTTGAAATGTGTATACATTTTTTTGGACACCCTGTATATGAGTGATATCTTCCACTGTGTTCCAGGACTACCCAGGACACTGGTAGAAGAGACTGGGACCAGCTCAGGCCTGCTCCCAGCCAACTGGGAGGAGCGCCAGCCTTTCCTGTGACACCTGGGGAGAGTGGACACTCAGGGGGCACTGACCAGGGGCCAGAGCCCAGAGTGGGGGTTGGAGCAGGCTTCCAGGGGTGCTGTCCAAGAGAAGCCGGAATGGTGTCGGGAATGGTGGTTGGAAAGTCGGGGGTGAGAGTGGAAAGGAGATTGTTCTAGACAGGGAGCAAGTGGGAGGCTCAGGAACTTGGAGATGAGTCCCATTAGGCTGGAGCCTGGAGGGTGGCCTCAGGGACCTGAACTCCACTCAGGGCAGGCCCGCTCTCTCTGACATCCCCGGCAGGCCCACCTGAATTAGTTTTCTGGGGCTGCTGTAACAAAGCACCACAACCTGGGTGGGATGGGTGGGGGTGGGGGGTGGGAAGGCTTCAAACAATGGAAATTAATTTTATTTACCTTTAAAGTATACTATTTTAATACAGTTTTGGGGTCTGAGTCTGAAATCAAGCACAGGAAGGGCTGGTTCCTTCCACAGGGTCTGGAGACTGTTCCACTCCTCTCCCCAAGCTTCTAGGGGTGACTTGTGATCCTGGGCATTGTGGGCTGTGGTTGCCTCACTCTCATCTCTCCCTCTGTCATCCCATGGTCTTCTCCCTGCTGTGTCTCTGTCTCTCTCCTCATCTTATAAAGTCGCCAGTCATATTGGATTCAGCCTTCCCCACTCCAGTATGACCTCCTCTTACTTAATTATATTCCATTAAATATACATCCTGTGTGGGAATACCATTGCCCAGCCACACAGCTAATGTTTAAAGGATGACAACCCCTGTGTTAGTGAATTTGTGGAGCAACGGGAACTCTAATACTATCTATCCTCTGATACTCTCATACTTCCGCTAATGCTACTCCGAATGCCCTCATTTACCCTCTGATACTGTGCTAACATAGTAGTAATGTTACATTTCCAATGATACATTTCACTGTCTATTGCTGGGACACAGAAGTTGACTTCTAGTGCCCCCATAAGTCAATGCCATCTGCTAACAGAATCTCCCTTACTAGGTGAAATGTTCCATGTATGATCTCCCAGTGTGTTGTGACAGACAGGTGTGTACGTGTTCTGCTGAGCACATAGTTGGAGGTGGAATTGTTGTGTTTGGGGATGTAACTTCTCTGTAGGCTGGAACTTCTGAGAAGCAGAGGATCCCTGATTGAGCAGAGGGGATGCTCAGGAGAAAATGGGAAGGAAATGGGATTAAGAAGCCAAAGGCTAAGAGTGGGCCTGGTCTCAGGAGCATTCAAGCAAACCTTCCCTGGGGCACTCTGGGGCACAGGCCCATCTCAGATCAGGGTCATTGACTCCTTTGGCCATAGAGTGGATGAAAAGCCCTCAGACACCAAAGACAGAAAGCCACTTGAAACCCTGGTACATGTCCCTGGAAGGGGCACTTGGCCCAGCAGGGGCAGTGGTCAGACCACAGGGCTGAAGTCTGGCCATGCAGGAGCCTGCAGGGGAGCTGACGGGCTGAATGAGGACTCTAGAGGCAGGAGGACAATGCGATGTTGGCCTGAGCCAGTGGGTACCAGGTAACCTGAAGGCTTGGGCCTTGGGTGGGGTCCATTAAGCCCAGCAGATCTTTAGGGCCCAAGTTGTGCTCCCTCTGGTCTGGGAGGTGCCAGGTGAAAAACTCAGGAGGGAGTGAAGCTGTGAGCAGGAGGCAGCCAGCCCATAAAACAATGGGGTGGAACAAAAAATGAGGCCACACAGCCGGGTTGTCTTTCCCGCATACATTTTTTATTGTTGGTGATGCTGAGTATGGACACAGACAGACACTGACAACATGGTGTTCTACATGGAGCTCTGTTCTACATGCTCCCCAAAAGGAGGAGAGGACAGACCCGATTCCTCTGGGCCGCACTGCAGACAGCCTCCAGTTGACAGTCCCTCCTCCCACTGCCCTGCCTCCCCGCCCTAGAGGCACGTTCCATACTCCCTGGGGCCAGCGTCCACGGTAGGGGGTGCTGAGAAGGCCCTGCAAGCCAGCACTCGCAGTGGAACTTCTCCACGGGGCATAGAGCTGTGCCAGAGCTTATGATCAGCAGCCCATGCATCCTAATGGCCAACGGCTGCTTTTCCTCCAAACAGACGCCAGGTTCCCGGAGAGCAGTCCTTGGCCAACAGCCCTCACTTGGTTTCGTTAATACTCTCGTAAACAACAACTGGACATCAGCAAACAGATTTTCAGAGACCCATCCTACATCAGAGAATTAGTTTTGATTCACAGGTAAATATAATTTTAAAAAGCCATTCCCCTAACTTAAAAAGTAGTGTTATTGATGTGATGTGTGCCAGAGAGAAATAAAATCCTGGCCGCGTCCCACGCTACCTGCCTCCGGCGCTCTGCAGGGTCGGGGCCCAGAGCTGGGGATCCACAGCAAGAGGAGCATGAGCTGACCAGGGTCCACGTCGGACGGGCGCGGTGGTGGCCGTGCAGATTCCATAGGATTTGTTTTTTTCAGTTACAAGGACATAAACAGCCTTCCCAGCATACACGGGACCCTCTCCCTCAGTGGCTCTGAACAGACAGAGTGTGTAACGTGGAGACATGATCACCCTGCCTCCCCAATTGATCAACTTTTACACTTCTTCCATTTCACCTTGTTCACAATTAGGCAAAATATGGTGTTTGTTTTTTAATAGGAACAAAATAAATGACAGAGGGAGGTGATGTGAGTGCTGGGCTCTCACAGAGTGCACCTATAATTACTGTATTTCTTTCTGGTGCACAGATGAGCGAGACCTGTGCTCTGGGTGGCGCCTGAGGGTGGGGAACATGTTACATGAATAGAACACAATGTTTTCTACCTGAGGGGATGGGCACAGATCTACGGAGTTACACAGCGACACAGGGTGGATGGCAGGCCCTCTCCTCGTGGTATAGGGGTGTAAACAGTCAGAAGAGAAAGCTCCCGTGTTTCCAGGGAAGCAGAAGTTAAATAGTGGAGCAGCCCTCCTTTCGGTCCAGGCTCAGCTTTTCCGTCTAGGTTTGCGTCTCTTCCACAGGGACGGCAAAGGGGCCTCCCTTCTCCACTCCCCTCTACACAATGAGCCAGTGGTGCAGCTGCAAAGAAAACAGGCTTATTTAGAAGGGAATTGAAAAGCCAATGACCGACTGGTAGCTGTGAGGGGTCTCAGCAGAGAGGATGGTGAGGATACAGCCGGGACCTCATGGGGGCTGGGCCAGATGCTGGCCAGACAAACACTGCACCCCAGCAAACCTGGGGCTGGTCTCAGATGGCATCCCCGCCATCATGTGTGTCACCTGGGGTGTCCCCGGGCCCCTACAGCCTCTGGTCCAACTCCCTGCAGTTCTATGACCCCAACACGTGCAGGAGCAGTCTCATTACCACTCGGGCCAGATGAGATCGACAGGACGGCTATTTAGTCTTCCTGCAAATGTCATCGCCTATTATGCAGCTGGGAGTACAGCCTGTTTTTTGAGCACAAGCCATTCGATCACACTAAATGGCAAGTACTACGCTTTTTAAACATTTCCAAAACAAGAGCATGCAGGACTTCTTTCTGATGCAGCCATGGCGGGGAGAATCTGCCACTGGTCCCCCTGTAGGGCTCTTTCATCACCCACACGAGGTGGGATGGGAATGCTAGGAGCCAGCAGCGACCGACAGGTGAGGCCAATGCTGGCAGAGCCTGCATGCTCTGAGAAGAGAACTGGTGGGCAGGGGAGATCATGCCTGGGACATAGGGCTTAGCCGCAACCCTCTGTCCTGGCCACGGCAGCATCAGAAGGCAACCTTCTCTGGAGGAAGGTGTGCTCAGGGGGCATCTCAGAACTCCAACAGATTAAGATCAAGCATCAGCTCGTGAACAAGGAGACCAGGAACATGGCTGCAGCCCACCCTGAGTGGGGTCAGAAACTTCAGACCCCACAGACCAGAGAGGTCGCCACTGTCAGATCACGAGGCGGCTGTGTAAGACGTTTTAAAAGTGACATCTGCCACTTACAACGATGGCGTATTTCACAAGACACGGGCAGACCAAATGCAGCTTCCAGGAATGCAGTGCAGTGTAGCTGTCAGTGAAGTGGGATATAGTCAGAGAGTCCCGATGCGGAAGGGGCTGAGGGAGGGGGGGGCACCCGAGGTGCCAGGTTTACACAATGAATGTCATGTAGCAGGTGGAGGGAGGGAGTGGGCCACAGCCACACACAAGGGTAGTTCTGGTCAAGATAGAATAATAGGGGCTGAATTCACTCTACCATCTGATGTTGTCCAAAACGAATAAAATATACATAAGAATGGTTGTCAAGACACGGGACCCAGATGACAAGGGACGACGATACTGAGAGAAACAAGCATGGGGGCTCCCTGATACACTCTGTCTGCTGCCTGCCTTCCTCAGGTCAGGGGCTCTCAGAAGGTAGTGGCAGGGAGCCTTCACTCAATGAGGAATCGAGCCTCCCAGCTCTCAAGGATGGGCTTGCTCCCCAGATCTGTCTGCATCCAGCCGAGGAGACAGCGGGGACAGCAGCACTCACTCACCGTGAACTGGCGCACCTCCCCGCTGTCCACCAGCTCGCGCTCTTTCTCTGGGGTGATGGCGTGGGCCACTTTCTAGGAGAAATGGAGAGGCCGTGGGTGTCGGCACACACTCAGTAAGGCACTAGACTCCCTGGCTGGCATGTGGTGGTCAGGTATGGGAGCTGACATCCGGGTCCCCTTAGGCCCTGGGGCAGAGTCCAGCACAAGTTAAAGAGGCAGATGCTGGAGAAGTTTTGTCTCCACATCAGCTCCCGGTGGGCTCCGAGGGGAGGTGAGCAACACGCACCCCAAGTCCGGCCCCAGGGCACCTGAAGCTCACATGCCACGCATGAGGAGCCTGCTTCCTGTCGCATTCAGCTCCAGGAAGCTGGTCTTCCTTCCACGTCCTGCCCCAGTGTCCCATGCCCCAGGGCTGGACAAAGTGGCTGTGCTCCTTGCTGGTCCTCCAGGGCCCATCCCTCAGCAGCTGCCACCTCTGACTCTCTGTAGCCAGGTTTCCTCTCCAGTCAGCCTCAGAGGACCCTCCCACAGCCTCACCTGTCTCAGGTGCTGAGATTTTATGTGGTCTATGTTCAGAGTTTGGCTGCCAGGAGGTAAAAGTCCACTTGATGTCGTTGGTGGCCTCATGATCAGGTGACTGGGACGGTAAGGGGGCCTGCTCACATACGCACCTCCCGCAGGGACCCGGACAAGCTGCAGAACTTGTAGGCCGCGTAGATGGGCACCATGGACATGGAGGACGCTGCGATGGCCCAGCCCAGTGCGTTGGCCCACTCAGGGAAGACGTAGTCTCCGTAGTGCGGGGGCCTGAAGGTCACGATGCTGACCACGACCACAAACTGAAACCAAGGGCAGAGGTCATGAGGCTGCACTTGGCCAGCAAGCAGGGGGTGGGGGTGGGGTAGGTGGGTAAGGGGGGAGGGAGTGCAGAGGTGGAATGGAGCCAGCATGTCGGGGGGTCTTCCAGCCACTACAGCTCTAGGGGCCCTGGCCCCACAGACCTTGGAACCTCCTTCTCCCTCAAGGATGGTGTTCTTGAGATGCATGTCCTCTCAGTTCTGCGTTTGACAGTGGTCATTCCCTCTGCTGTCCTTTGACAACCTCACACCTTGTCCCATCAGGGGACCTGAGTGTGCAGAACAGCGCAATAACACCCTGTCTGTCTAGAGTTCACACACCCACAGCTTCCGCCCTCTGGAGTGCGGGGAGATGGGCATATTGGAGTCAGGCCTCTGGCTGCCAGGTGGGGTGGCAAGCAGCTTCCAAAGGTTCGGGTGCGGCTCTGTGAGAGGCACCGTCATATCTGGTGCCACACCCTGACTCCTTCCTCTTTCTTTCACTCGCCTCTGGGCTGGGACATGATGGGGTCAATCTAATCTGTCTGTCCATCCCAGGCCTATCTGAGGTGCCCACTGGGCTGGCTGGAGTGAGGGGAGAGCCAGATGTCAGGGGTGCTGGTCTCTGTGCACAATTCCCTGACTCTTCATCCTTTTGGACTTGGTCTTGAATGGCCATCTGGAGTCATCTGTCCAGACCTGACGGGGCAGTTTAGGTGTCAAGAGTCATCGGGTCTCAGTCACAACCACTTAGCACTGCTGCAGCGAGGAACCAGCCACGGGCAGCCTGTGAAGAGGGCAGAACCTCTTTTCTGCCAAGGGCCATTTGGATATTTAGAACATCATTCATGGGCCACACAAAATTATCCATTTAAACATTAGCCTAGTATGTTTAATAAACTGACCCCTAATGCCTTGGCAGGGCCAGACCAAATGATTTTGCAGGACTTATATGGCCCGAAGGCTGGATGTTCTCCACCCCTGCTGTAAAACAAGCACTGCAGTTTTGGCCCCGACAATAAAAGCCAGGCAGCTGCTGGATGGTGAGTGGTGCCTGTACCTGGGGAGGCCCCCGAGGGCAGAGCAGTGATAGAACCCACATCACTTTGTCCTCTGGACTGAGTACTTGTTGCTCCAGAAGGTTTACATTCTACTTTGGTCCTCAAGGCAAAACGTCAATAACCTCACTCATCTCAGGCCTCCCCTCCAACACAGAGGTATGGCCGAATGCAGGACACACAAGGGCCTCTATGGAGATCACCCTGGATACCACGTGAGGTTTCTCAGTGGGTTCAGTGGGGGATGGGTCATGCCTTTAGGAGGCTAGAGAGGATTTCAGGGACCAGCCTGCCCTCCTGGAGTTCTGTGTGACCACCAGCTCCACCTCAGAGACCCTGGTCTCTTGGCAGCATGGGACCTCCTCCCCCAGATTCAAGCACATTCACTTGTCCAGGTGAAAGCTGCCTGTGGACACCGCTGACCCTGGGTAGATGTGAGAGCTGAGGCAGAGCAGGACACGCATGGCCTTCAACCCTTACCAGGAGGAAGCAGGGGCTGACGAACTTCCAGCACAGTCGCCAGTAGAGGCTGGGCCGCTGCCCGGTCATCTGCTTGATGTCATCGCTAAACTGCCGCACACCTGGGGAGCCAAGCAGGAAGGTCAGGACAGCACTTTCCTTGAGACCCAGGTGAAGACCTTGGTCCTTGCTGACCTCCGGGTCGCGCCAGGGAAACTCAAGGCCAGACTGCCTCCTGTAGAGACCACCCCCATTCCAGACTGCTCGGTGGTCTTGCTGATGGCGGGTCCCCACACATGTTCCCCATGGTGACACTGGGTGATGTTTGCTCCTCAGTCCTGATGAGGAAGACTGGTGGGGAACTCTGCCTGACCCTCTCTACCCTCTGCTCACCTCAGGGGTCCTCCGGACGTCCCATAGCTGTCCTACCACCCCGCCCCCCCCGCCCCCCCGTTCCCCCAGCTGTCTTTGCAATCATTACTTTTTTTTTTTTTTTCACTTCAAGAATTGTGGCATTCCCTGGTTAGTTTGGCTCAATGGATAGAGCATTGGCCTGCAGACTGAAGGGTCCCAAGTTCAATTCCATTCAAGGGCACATGCCTGGGTTGTCTGCTTGATCCCCAGTAGGGGGCATGCAGGAGGCAACCAATCAATGATTCTCTCTCATCATTGATGTTTCCATCTCTCTCTCCCTCTTCCTTCTTCTCTGAAATCAATAAAAATATATTTTAAAAAAAGAATTGTGGCAAAATATATATAACAAAAATTTTACCATTTTAACCATTTTTAAGTTCTGTGGCATTAAGTACGTTCATGCAGCCATCATCTCCACTGATCTCTAGGATTTCTCTATTTTCCCAAACTGAGACTCTGAACTCATTAAAGAATTACCCCCGCCCCCTTCCACACGGGTGTGTACACCCGTCTCTATGAGCTTCAACAACACTAGGAACCTCCTAGGAGTGAACTTGCAGAAGATTTTTCCTTTTGGGACTGTTTATCTCAGCATAATGTCCTCAAGGCCCATCCGTGTTGTAGCATATGTCAGGATTTCCTTCTTTTAAAGGATGGAAAGTATTCCATTGTATGTATATAATCACTTTTTTTTTTTTAAGGAAAGTATTTCTAGATGACCAGTTATTTTCTCCAGATCTTAAAAGGATTTCTCTGCCCTGAAATTGCCCCAGGCTCTGGCACAGCCAAGGCAGGTTTGGGTGCTGGGGTGCCACCCAGGCTGTCTTCATTGATCCAAGGGAATGATGCTGCCAAGCCTCTCATCTCTGTGATGCTGTGGTCACCACAATAAGCGTCCTAGAGCTAATGTTCTTCCCTTTTCAAGCCAGTGTCACCAGGAAGGCAGTGGCACAGCCACAAAGCAGCAGCATCCTGACCAGGTCTCCCGCCCGCCAAAGCACCAGGAAAGGTTTTGTCCTTACCGTAGAACCAGGCCACCCCAATGGCCTCGATGAGCACCCCAAAGAGAATGGACGTGCCGGCTGCAAAGTGGTCCAGCAGTGTGAAGACATAGATGCCGCCCTGAAAGAGAAGGGAGTGCCCACTGAACTCCGGTGTCCCGATATGGCAGGCCTTGACCACAAAAGTGCTTTTCTTTCTTCCTTTCTTCCTTTCTTTCTTTCTTTCTTTCTTTCTTTCTTTCTTTCTTTCTTTCTTTCTTTCTTTCTTTCTTTCTTTCTTAAACATATTTTTATTGATTTCAGAGCGGAAGAGAGAGATGAGAGAAACATCAGTGATGATAGAGAATCACTGATTGCCTGCCTCCTATACACACACTATTGGGGATCAAGCCTAGGTATGTGTCCTTGACTGGAATGGAACCTGGGACCGTTCAGTCTGTAGGATGACACTCTATCTACTGGGCCAAATGGGCTAGGGTGAAAGTGCTTTTCTTAATCCATAAACCTGGCCTGTGGGTTCAATTTATAGACATATTCTGTTTTACTACTTCCTACAAAGTCTGATTTGAGCCACTAAAATTCAATCCACATGCAACTTGTTAAGGGACACATCCATTATATAAAAATAAAAAAAAAGAGAGAGAAAAAGGCAAACTCTCCTTTCCTTTCTTGGGCTCCTGGTGGCATCAGAAATGAAAGCAACCAAATGCCAAGCTTGGCAGAGCTCCTACTGGGAGAGGAGGTGACCTGGGTGCCCCATGGCCTGACCTCCCTCCAGCCGGATAAATCCACAGGCCCTGTGGCTGAGCCAAGGGCACCTCCCAGGGAGCTGTCCAGGTACTGAAGTAACAGGTGCCATGGTACTCCAAGTGTGACCACTGCTAGCCTGAAGGTGCTCGTGGCTACCTGTGAGTGACCAGGGCTACTCCATGTGACCATGGCTACCCGAGTGTGATCACAGCTACCTGAGTGTGATTATACATCAAGGGATGTTTTGGGAGGGGGATGCAGCCTTAGAAGAGCTGTGACTCTGTCTGGCCTGGTAGTACCAGCCTTTTGCTGCCCAGAGCTGAGTGCTAATGAGACATGGTCAGGTGAGTTGAGCCTGTACGTACATTGGTGACGCAGAAGAGGGAGAGGAGGAAGGTGACCAGGACGATGAAGAGGGTGAAGAGCTCCCGGTGCCTGTGCAGCAGCTGGAACTCATCAATGAGCCCGGTGATCACTGACTCCATCCCGCCCATCTGTAGCCAACACAGAGAGGGGACCACACCCAGGTGTGGTTTACATGTGATTCAGTGGATGTTCACCCAGAAAATGGACACGGAGTGGGAACTGCACGGTGTCCAGGGTGCAGAATGCCCCAAAGACAAGACAGCCCTCATGAGGGCTTCTCTTGTAACACGGTTGTTGGAGAGAGAGAACTGGGTGTGGATGCTCCTGTACTCCTGGTGACTTTCCCAGTCACTGTGAAGTCCTGGGGATGGGTGGGGAGAGATGCTACGTGACTAACGTGTGAAGCCTTCCTGACTCAGTGTGTGTCCTGGCTCAGTGGTGCCCAGAGGGCCCTGACTGCTTGGGGTCCCTCAAGCCCCACTCTATTGAGACCACCTCCCCCAGGAAGTGCTGTCAGGACTGCATCCCCACCAGACCTGCCATCCAAGGGTATGGTTCACCCTGAGGGCTGGTGGCCAGGCTGGCAGGAGAGGAGGTGGAGGGTTACGGAGTGTGACCAGCGTTTTCATGGGGAGGGACTCTGCACTTCCAATGAAGCTCAGGGGAACAAGACCAGTCACAAAGACCTTGAGGTCTCAGCTGTTGGTCAGGAGCAGGCAATGGGGAGGGAGGCTGAGGAAGTCCAAAAGGCTAGTATGCCCCTGTACACACACACGAAGGGCCTCACATGAGACCCTCAATGGGCAAGGCCCAGGCTGCAGCTAGAGATTTCGGTTGTCCTATCCTGCAGGTGTAGCCACCCCTCCTAGGGCTGAGGGGCTGGGAAAGTGATGCGTCATGAGGAACTCTGTGTGGCCACGTCACCTGTTTTCCTGCACAGCCCTCTTGCTTTGTGTGCATTTAGGGCCCATGATGGCTCAAGCAGAGGGCGCAGCTGGCACCCCGAATGAAAAAAGGGGTGAGTTGGTCCGAACACTCCATCCCAGGAAGGGTGTCAAGTCATCATGGGCTCCCTCCCTGCCACCCCATGTGGTGCTCTGTGTGAGCACAAGCTTCAGGGGACCCCAGAGAGCATCTGTGGCTGCAGACGAGCCTAGCTGTCATGGGGCGGGACCCAGGCTCGGGAAACGCTGGCATCACTCACGGCGCTGTCGATCCCCAGGGTGAGCAGCATGATGAAGAAAACCACAGCCCAGGCAGAGGACAGTGGAAGCGTGGCCAGAGCCTCGGGGTAGATGATGAAAATCAGCCCTGGCCCTGAAAGCAGAACCTCAGGTTGCCGCCGAGTATCACTTCACTTTCACACCCTCTCCCCCACCCCCAAGAGGCCAACTCAGTCTGCACAAGTGCCACCAGATTCAGTAGCACAAAATCTTTCCCATCACAGCCTCTCCTGTCCTCCCTCCTGTGAATTTCACAGACACCTGTGAAATTCTGGACTGGAGATAACGGAAACCCAGAAGCAGAACTAGAGAGATTCACCTGTCCCATCCCCAGGGGCCACAACTCTGCTCCAGATCTCTCCTGTTCATGGCTGTGAGGGCTAGGGGGTAGGGGTAGAAGTGGAGGTGAGAGGGGAAGGGACACTCTGGTTTGTTCTTCCTGAGCAGGTCGCTCACACACTTGCACTCACTATGGCTCGTGAACAATATGCTGTAAATATTTCTGTACCCTGAAGTACTCTAAGGGTAATCTGTAAAACCACAGGCTGGATGTGCAGACCACATTCATGAGTGCTGTCTGGCGTGTTGCTGGGATCGGGAGTGCTCCTGGGCAAACGCCAGTGCTCCTCAGACCAGCCCCTTTGACAGCTTTTTGGAACTGGTATTGTTGGGTCAGGACAGGCGCTGTGGGCAGCTACACCTGCTCCTCATCCCAAACAGGTGAGACCTGGGTGGAGGTGAAGGCCGTGAGCCTGGTCGGAGAGGGGACAGGGGCAGCGGGACTCACCTAAGATGAGCTGCAGTTTGGCTATTAGGGACCTTAAGGTAAAATATATTCCTACGGCAAAGTGGTAAATATTTCCACAGAAATTTTCATGGTCAATTAGAAGGCGCGCATACATAGCTGATGAGCACTGTCCACTGAGAGTCTGCTTTGGAGGTGCCTTATAGCTCTTCTGTTTCTCCCAGTCCTCAGCAGACCTACTGGCACCAGTTAGAAACAGGGGTGCTTATATGGGCGCTTATGGTCTTTCTAGAGGATGGGACAGAGACCAGAGACCCCGGCCAATCTCCCAGAGGCTTTATGCCCCTGGAGTCAGGCTGGACTCTCTGATGACTGAAATGCAAGGCCAGGGGTTAATTCTTTGAGATGCTGTAAAGGCTAAATGCCATAAAGCCAGGAACCCAGAGAGATATTCATCAGCTCTGTTGAATTAATGTCAACACCCTCACCTTTCATTTCTGCACCCGAGTTAACATTTCACCCCGTTTTCCTGAGAATTAGAGCTATAAATGACATTTACTTTGCTTGTCATGCAAATGCATAGAAAACATCCAGCTTTACCTTCAAGGGTTAATAGAGGTCTTTGCAAGTTATTCCTATTTATCATAATAAAGGGCAAAAAAGAGCGGTGAAAATGCATACATGCAGGTGAGTAAATTTCACAGCTCTATACTTATTTGCGTTATGTTCCCATTCTCCCACCTTTATTAATTTTTTTTCCCCTGGAGGGAAGAAGATGGACTTGAGACCATGCGAAGGATTCATCCCAGCCCCCTGCTTTCCCTGCCATTCCAGAGGGGTCCTTTTGGGTCTGTTTTCTACTTTCTTTCTTTCTTTTTGTTTTTAATATATATTTTATTGATTTTGTACAGAGAGGAAGGGAGAGAGATAGAGAATTAGAAACATCAATGAGAGAGAGTCATCGATCAGCTGCCTCTCGCACACCCCCCACCGGGGATGTGCCCGCAACCAAGGTACATGCCCTTGACCGGAATTGAACCCAGGTCCCTTCAGTCCCCAAGCCGACGCTCTATCCATTGAGCCAAACCGGTTTTGGCTGTTTTCTACTTTCAAAGTGGATTCTTAATGCTCAACTCTCCAGAAATAGATGGGATGATGAAGCTGTGGTCTGAGAGCTGAGAGCACCAGGTGGGGTTAGTCCCTCCCTGAATGATTCCTGACCCAGGAAGATGAGTCAGGGAGCTGCAGTAATCAGAGTCCCCTCTCAGGACCCATATCTGTGCCCAGCCTCCCAGCTTCCCCTGCCTGGCCCACTCCCTGCTGGGGCCAAACCCGCTCTTGTGTGGTCTGTGCCCGCACCCGCACCCTCCACCTGCCAACTCCCAGGGCACAGACACTGTGTGCTGGAGAGTCCAGGTTTCCCTTGAATACTGTCCACATTCCACGTGAACACGTCATGGCCACCAGTGTTTGGAGGGAAAAGTTTTGGAACAGATTAGCTGCTCATATAAAAAACAACCCAACTTTTTTTTTGGCTGATCATGCATGGAAGTCCAAAAGCCTTGTTGCTTGGGACAGCTCAGTGCTCCCAACCCACTCATCTCCCCTCAGGGAGTAAACTAAGTCAGGGGATCCAGACTGACAAGGGAACCAGACCCTCATCCTGCAGCCCAAATGGCCTCTGTGAGGAGCATGTGGCTGAGGGGCCACTGTCACACTGTCCCACAAAGGGTGGGAGTGGGAGGATGTAGGAGCAGAGGTTGTCCTGCTTCCAGTTACTTGTCTTGCAATTGGTCCAGCACATGAACATATACAATTCTTCAGATCAGCAACTCTCTGGCACCAAGGCCTGTGTCTCTCCTTCATTTTGCAAGAAAACACCTTTTGAGAACTGGCCTAGAGCAGGCGGAAGTGTGGGGGCCCCAGCCTGCCCTCGGGGGACTCACCATCTTTGGCCACGTCCCCGATGGGCACACTGTGCTTCTGGGCCATGTACCCCAGGAAGGAGAAGACCACGAACCCCGAGGAGAAGCTCGTCAGGGAGTTGACTGAGGTGGTGATGATGGCGTCTCTGTGAGAACAAGACACCCAGGCCAGCGCTGGAGCAGCTGCAATTTCCAGTCATTATTCTCAGTTTACTACATCTGTTTCCTGCCAAGCATGGCCAGTCCCTCCTGCAGCTGCAGATCCTGCTCTCTGGCTCTGCTGCGTTGGGACGGCACCTCCCAGCTGCAGGCTCTGGGCTCTGGTCATGTCTTTATGGGGAGCAGCCGTCATGTTTGGCTGGGATGGCAAGGCTCCTGGAACACATGACTCAGTGCTGAAGGTGAGATGGACTGCACTAGCAACCTGGAGACTCTGGGTGGACAAATAGATGGCCATGGGGTTCCTCACCCATTGTGAGGGGGCTGTCAGGCATCAGGGACCTTGTTCAAATGCAGATTTGAACAGGGTGGGTTTGGTGGGCACTAGGTGTCATATTTTCCTGCTGCTTCTGGGGGTGCTGGTGCTGCTGGCCTGGAGACTCCACTCTGAGGGCTAGAGAGGAGGACGGGGGTGGGATCAGCCCTCCTGAGAGCCAAATGGAAGGACATCTCGGAGTGCCCGGCCTTTGGGCTCAGGCAGGGCTGTGTTGGAAACAGCCATCCCGAGTTCACCTCTGTGGGAGCCTGGCAGTAGTCTGTCTGGCCATTTTGCTGTGCACACTTGCTGTCTCTGTATTTTTACCACTTTTTATCCTTGGGATATGAAAGAATATAAACACGAGCCTGTAGTCCTAGCCAGTTTGGCTCAGTGAATAGGATAGAGCGTTGGCCTGTGAACGGAAGGATCCCAGGTTCGATTCTGGTCAAGGGCACATGCCTGGATGCATGCTCAGTCCCCAGTGGGGGTAGTGCAGGAGGCAGTCAATCAATGATTCTCTCTCATCATTGATGTTTCTTTCTCTCTCTCCCTCTCCTTCCTTCTCTGAAATCAATAAAAATACATTTAAACACAAGCCGGGAAAGGTCAAAGAAAGCAAGTCCCAGGTAGTTTCTGTTTCTGTTTTTAGAAGGATTTGGGGTCCAACATGTGGCGGTAGCTAAGTCAGGTCATTCTGGGCCAGGTGGCACGGCCAAGATGCCACCAGGCTATGGGCACAGAATGTGGCCACTTTCCTTCCTGTCCTGATGCTGTGTCATCTGGGTGCCTCTGCATAGAGTCTGGGGGACCCAGGCTCCCAAGTGCAGGCCAGGGGACTCATTCAGGTGCTTCACGGTGGGGGTGTCTGGAGGAGGAGCCTGACCTGGGCTTTGGGAGGAGGAAGGAGGCAGGGGGAGAGGAGGAGGCAGGGGTGGGGCCTCGGGGGAACTGCTGCTTCTGAGATTTAGGAGGCTTCCTTGCAGGAAGGTGATGCACATTTTCATGTGTTTCAATATCTTCCTTAAAGCAACGACCAACATTTTGCCTGTAGCTTTCTCATTTTAGTTTTCACTTAAAAAGCCATTTGGCTCAGAGGTTTTGCACACAGAGCTTATTTCCCCCTCCTTTCTACTCGGTGTGATACCCCCACCCCCATATCCGTGATGCACATTGATTTTTGCAGACCATCTTATGGGAGCTCAGGACCTACCTGTAGCAGTTGTTGGTGAATTTATTGTAACTGGAGAAGGCGATTAGCACCCCAAACCCAATGCCCAGTGAGAAGCATATCTGGGTGGCAGCGTCGATCCAAACCTGCCGCCAGAGGGTAAGGAGCGGCTGTTAGAGATAATTGCGGAAGTGAGGGCCAGCTGTCAGGAGGCAATTGTGCAAAGATGGAGGCCTCAGCTCCCTGTCCTCCCTGCAGGCGTCTCCTGCGGAGATGCCTCCAGTTCCACCGACAGGGTGGAATTTAAACGCCAGGTCTTGATCAAAATCACCTGGCATCAACAACATGACCAAAGCCTAGGCGTCTCAGGGAGTAAACTTCCCCATGTCACTGGCCTGAAGTAGCGTGATGATGAAAAGGGAACTGTTTTTGTGCGTTCTCTGCATTTGCCCACAGGACCTCAGTTAATTTATTGTGATTCAATGCTGGCATCTGTTTTGCTTCCTCGTGCACGTTGCCTGGAGCTGTGTCCAGGCCTCTGCTGCATTTCCTCTCTCTCTAGTCTTCCAGCTCCTTCTCCCTTCACATCACCTCATCATCCTCCCATTGCTCCTGCAGCCACTTCCCCTCCTATGGCTTTCTGGGAGCTGAGCCTCAACCCCCCCACCCCCTCCATTCTTTCCATTTCTGCCTCAGGGCTGCTCCTTCCTGAGTCCCTAGTGAGCCCCACACCTGCCTCTCATTGCAACCTAGCAGCATAAGGTAGCCCGTTCCCAAGGGGCCCCTACCCCCAGCCTGGACCTTCCCCTCTTGTCCACATGCCCCTCCACACCTAGTTACTCCCCCTGTGGTTGCTGGAGTCCCACTATCTGCCCATCTAGTCCACCTGAATTTGCATCCATTCACTTTGGAAAGCTGCCGTTCCTACACCCACCGGCCAGTGGTCACTGTCATTTCTGAGCTGTTTCCCTGCAAGGCCCCGCCCCCCTTCTCTCTCTTTCTCTGGAGACCCTCTTCCATGGCCGGCCAAGCCTCTACTCTCCAGGAGGCTGCCTCCCGTACTTTTCCTTTGCTGAAGAAACATGCAGCCCGACTCCAGAGTTAGTGTTTTAGGATCATGCTCTTGTGCTGGGGGCACCCGGAGTGTTTCGCCATTGAGGTCTGGCTTCCCGTGGAGAAGCCCTGGCTCCTGTGATATCTCAGCCTTGCTGGGCCCTTGGACAGGGAGCTGGAGCTCAGGCTGAATTCCAGGTGAGTGGCAGAGCTCTCTGGCACAGACTGGGCAGTGCCTTATCCGGGAACCCAAAGAGCGTTCCTCCAGGACATGGGATGGGACATGGGGAAGAGGTCAATGGGCAGGAACCTTCATTCCCTAACTGCCTTCTACTGGTCCACTGAGCTCTCCTGAATTGCCCCTCTAGTCCACCTGAATTTGCACATACTCCCTTCTGTCTGTCCCCCCGCACCCCCTTAACAAGACGGTGAACTCTATGGGTGGGACCAGGTTTGCACATTGGCCTGCAGAACCTCTCACACAGCAGGGCGGCCAGCACCTGCTGCATTTATAGGGCGAATGAGAAATTCCCGCCCAGATGCTGCCTTTGGGATCTCCTGCCTCAAAGCATGGGGACCCCTGACACCGTGCCTGCCGGTCCACATGGACTGCAGGGTCGCGAGCGGTGGGCATACTCACGGACGCTTCACAGAGCCGACGGAAGTCAACGCTCAGGTATGCTCTGATGCCGTCCATGGCTCCGGGGAGAGTGATTCCTCGCAGGAGCAAGGCAAAAAGGACCACGTATGGCATGGTGGCCGTGATCCACACGACCTGAGGAGAGGACAGCGTCACCGGGCTGCACAGGCCACCTGCTGGCAGGGAGTGGGCACAACGTCACCCTGACGGTTGGAGCTGGTAGAGAGGTGGCCTCTTTTTGGGAAGCTGAACATCCCATACATTCACAGGACCCAGCTCAGCAAATGCCCACTGGGTGAGGCCATCATGCCTTGTACTCTGTGCATCTTTCCCGGGGATTAAAAGAGGACAAACCATTTGGCAAGGAAGGAGCATTCCTGCTCTGTATTTGGTCTGTCCCAGCAGGCGCGGCTGGAATTCTGATGAGTCAGATGTGAGCAAATTTCACGTGAGTGTGCAAATGTGTACCTGGATTACGTATAAAGGATGGGTTCTGGGCTCCAGAGGGAGGAAAGGCACCCTCAGGATCAAAAGAGTCCCATGTGTTGGCCCTTCACTACATGTATCATCACAGCTGATGAACACATTCTGGTCAAAATTGCTTTGGGTGCCCGGATAACAGCCAAAATATTGTCATCAGCAAAAACTGATTTATGTTGTGCTTGTCTTAATGCTGAAAACACTCTGCTGTGCTTTTCCCTTGACACCATTTCTCAACCACAGTCTTGTTCTGACTCCTCAACTCAAACATAGGCTCCCTGTCTATGCTCCAATCCACCACAGCCACTCCTCCTCTTCACAACCATCCGGCCACAGCCCAACCTGCCATGGCCTGCCCTCCAGCCGTAAACCTCATGACAGTTCCCTGTCCACTCCCCCCATGGCCATGTGTCCACTTCCCAGCTGGCTAGGCTCAGCCTCACCTTCCCCGAAGTCTTCACTCCCTTCCACAGGCTGAAGTAGAGCAGGACGATGACCAGCACCAGGCATGATGTGAGCTGCCAGCGGGGAGGGCCCAGGTCTCCGATGCCGCGGCTCTCATGGAGGTGCAGTACGCCGCGCCTGGAGAGGGAGAAAGGTGGGGGTCCTGGAAGAGCACTGCCTCCCCGCCCAGAACTGTTACCAGACAGCTGAGCTCGCCCAGAGTCTGTCCTCCCCAGCTCCACATGGCAGACAGGATCCAGACTGTCTGGGCCAGTGACCTCTCCCCGTCCTCAGAGAAGGGCCAGGCCTGGCAGTCTAGCTGAGATGCAAGCTATATCCTCCAGGTGAGGGAGAGGGTGGGCGTGGCCTGCTGGGAGCCCACAGAAGCCCAGCCCTGACCCTCAGCACCCTGCGTTTGGAACTGGGGAGGGGGTGGGTGCCTTGGATCTTTGAAGAAAGAGCACAGAAACCAAAGGGAAGGTGTCAGCAAGGCGGTGGCCGCTGCTGCACACAAAGGTCCAGGCCCTTCTCAGGGCCGAGGCTGAGCGGACCCAAAGTAACAGGTATCTTTGCTGCCCTCTGAGGGTGACAGGTGACGAGAGATGTCCAGCTGTCAAGGAGGATTCTGTGGGAACAGGCTCAGGATGAGTCTGCATCAGGTTAGCTCAAGAACTTTCTGGGAGAGGGATCTGCCACCATAAAGACAGAGCATAAGGCCACATAGGAAGGGGACAGAATGGCCAGGAGAGCCCTCCCTGTGGGCCAGTCACGGGTCTGAGGCACTTTCCATACAGAATCTCATTACATCCTGTGACAACCTGTGGGAAAGGTGCCATTGTGTCCACTGTGCACCTGCCGCCTCCCCTCCCAGGTGGGACTGGGAGTCAAAGCTCAGCCAAAGGCTGTGCTGCTGCCCAGACAGTGGAGGAGCCACACTGTGAAAAGGGCCATCACCACCAGATTTGCGAGGTCCTAGGACATCTTCCTGGCACCCGTGGAAGAATGCCGCAGACTGCAGCATCCCAGACCTTTCACCAGCTGTGGGCACCTCGGGGTACATTGGAGAAGTTCGTGTTTTCACACAGGATTGGGACAGGGAGGCTGTGACAGGCAAGGAGAGGCCAGAGCAGCACTCCTGTTCCACTCCCAAACCCAGCATGGTCCAGGTTGGCCTGCAGTGTCCAGACTGTCATCACCATCTTTTCTTTACGGCACAAGATGCACGTTGAAGTGAAAGGAATCTCCTCACGCTGTCCGACAGCAGTGTGGGATCTGGGACAGGGAGCTGCTTGGTCAGGCAGAGGAGGAGGCCACTGGGACATCCTCAGCCTGCAGTGCCCTCCTGGAACCTGCCCTCCTGGGACCTGCCTCACTTGGGACCTGCCCTCCTGGGACCTGCCCTTCCAGGGCGTGCTTAACCTGGGTCAGTAGAATTCCCGGAGTCTGTCTTCTCTTTCCCTCACCTCAGCTCTGGCTCTGAGTCTGTTGCCCTTGCTCCCTTCTCACCTTGCCCTGGAGCCCCTGCCAAGTCTTATCACCTGGAACCTCTTTTCACCAATGAGAGAAGTCTCCTTGGCACAAAACCATCTGCCCAGGGAGGCCACACATTGTGTGGGGCCCAGACCAACCACAATCCAGCTACACCTTGCACACAGGGGCATGGGTTATGCCCCTAACCTGCTGGCAAATGGCCATTTATCCTTTTGCCTGGGAAAGGAACACAGTGGCCCATGGGGCACAACTTCCGGGGCCTGAGAGGGTGCGGCTGAGGAGAAAGCACGTGGCTCTCCTGATCATGAACTGCTTCTAGGATGCTGTACACCCTGGTTTTGCCTCACATACTCCAGGTTGCTTTGAGAATTAGCCCTTCATCTGTGCTGGCCAAATCCCTTTCCCAAGACTAAAGAGTCCTCTTGTTTGAGGTTGTGTGAAATCCCACTGCCACTCAAAGGGCAGGCCCTGCAGATGCTGTCAGCCAGAGAGGAGCTGCAGGCACTGCAATGCGTGGGACAGCCATGGCAGTCATGCCAATCCCAAGAGCAGGCACATGGTAGGATGAGGACAGGACATCTGAATAAGATGGTTTGGGACTGAAATGCAGAGTGTAAGTGGCCTGGAGGACCAAACAGGGATGGCCTAGGATGTCACCAGCTCGGCAAAGATCTAACACTTCCACTCCCTATGGCTTTCCTTCTCCAGGTGTGTCATGGTTCTTGGATCCGGATAAGGAAGCCTTTGAGGCATGCCAGGTATGCACTGGGCTGCACCTACACTGTCTCATTGGATGCCCACTGCAGCTGTGTTGCCCCATTTACAGCAAGGAACCCAGGAATGGAGAGGGTAAGAACATTATCCAACCCAGAGACAGTGAGCAGCAGAGCCTACTCTGAACCAATGCTCTGTCTTGGGAGGGGAGGGGGGAATGGCTGCCATGGAAAGGAGGCCTCCACTCTGGCCATGAGGGATTGTCATCATACCAACTAGAAAGATGAACAAAGTACACCAAATGAGTACTGCAGATGTGGGACTGGAGATGACAACACCCCACTTCCAACCTGCATGGGGTCTTGCTGGGTAGAGCAGAGGGAGTCTCAGGAACCCACTGACTCAGCCACAGGGTGAAACTCTGCAGGTCTCCAAGCCCAGGCAGGGCTGAGGACCACTGATCTTTCACCAGCCACGGCAGGGGATTTGCCCATCACATGGAGAACTCAGTAGACCCTGGACGGGTCAGTAGAGGTGATAAACCATTCCTGAAGCAAAGGCTGCCCCAGAAGCATTTCAACATCAAGTTTCAAAAGGATAAATCTGTACCACAAGCAAATTAACTTCCAGAGCAAATTCAACACTCATTACAGGAAGATTACAAAATTACTAGACAACAAGAAGCAAGAAAATATGACCTATAACTAGGAGAAAATCAATCCATAGCTTCCTCATACCAAATACAAAAAGCCACTCAAATGGGTAAAAAACTAAAAGTGAGAGCTGAAATTATGGAACTCTTGGAAGAAAACGCAGGCATAAATCTTCAAGACTTTAGGTTTGACAATGGACTTTTTATATTTAAAAAATCTATTTATTTAAACAATCAGAAAACCCCCAGTTCACTCATTTTTTTCTACCCCACCCCAACCCCTACCTCTAGCACCAATCAGCTCTCCATACTTATGAGCTTAGCTGTTTTTTGTTGAGTTTTGGCTATGAAGTTTTTGATAGGACACCAAAAGAACAAACAATAAAAGGAAAAAATAAATTACTGAATTTATCAAGATTAAAAAACTTTAGTGCATTAAAGGATACTATCAACCTCCAAAAATATCTTGTGAATCAAAGATAAATCACAAGGCAGATCAGGGAACACTTTGAACGGAATGAAAATAAAAACACAACCCATGAAATGTTGCTAAAGCAGTCTCTAAGAGGCAAATTCATAGCTGTAGATTTGTAGTTTTCTAATTTATATTAGAAATTAGGTGAAGATCTTCCATCTGTGTCGAGGACTCATGCTTCCTTTGTCCCACAAAGACCCCAAGGGAACAGAACACGGGCACATGACAGAGAAAGGGTCCTCTCACACCCCTGTGAGGCAGCAGGGGTGGGTGGCTGACCCCTGGGCTGCCATAGAGAGCTTTGCTCTACATCCTTCCCTTCCTGAGGCAGCCACAGCACGTGAGGAGTCATCCCACCCCATGGAGCGGACTTCCCACTTACTCAAAGTACTCGGCGGCAGGCGTGGTCCTGAAGCTGTCGTTGAGGCCTGAGCCGTCACTGGTGTTGCCTAAGTAGGCGTCTGTGCAGTTGGGGCTGTTCCAGGTGTTGTTGCAGTGAGTCCAGGGCAGCTCCATGGTGAAAGAGGAGAAGAAGTAATGCAGTGCCCAGGCGATGATGACGTTGTAGAAGAAGCCAACGTAGAGCGAGATCAGGATGACCGTGAAGCCCACACCTAGGGTGGTGAGAGCACAGAGCCACCATCAACAGAACACCCCTTCCCACCTTCCCTTACAGGAGACACTGCCACCCTGTTTGCCACCATCCTAATATCAGGCAACATCTTTAAATACACAAGGAGCCGAAGCCGGTTTGGCTCAGTGGTAGAGCATCGGTCTGTGGACTGAAGGGTCCCGGGTTCGATTCCAGTCAAGGGCATGTACATTGGTTGTGGGCACATCCCCGGTAGGGGGTGTGCAAGAGGCAGCTGGTCAATGTTTCTCTCTCATCGACGTTTCTAGCTCTCTATCTCTCTCCCTTCCTCTCTGTAAAAAATCAACAAAATATATTTTAAAAAAATAAATAAATACACAAGGGAAGATAAGTGAAAGGGCAGATGCTGAACTTTATGCTGTGACCACGGAGAGGGGCTTCCCTTTTCCAGGACCATCTATGACCATCTCTGTCCACTCAGAGACATTCAGAGTGTCTCCGAGGGACATTCAAGGTCTGAAAGGCCATCCAGGCTCATGGAAGGGTACCCAGAACTATGTAGTATGCCTAGGGACAGGAAGAGTCATACAGGACCATGTAGGATCATCTAAGGCCACCCTGGTAGAACAGGTCACACACAGATATAGCGGGCAACTAAGGGCCACCCACAGTTATCCACTGCCACTCACAGCCACTCAAGATCAAACAGGATCATCCAGGCTCACTTAAGGTCATCTAGGGTGGCTCTGGGTCACCCTGAGCAATCCAAACCAGAGTTATCCAGCACCTCTAGGCCGTGCAAAACCATCTGAATCGTCCACTGCCACGCATGGCCATCCATGGCCCCTCAGGGTCATCTAGGGGCACCCAGAGATACAAAACACCACCAAATGTCAACAAAGGCCACCCCAAACCATTCAGGATCACCGGAAACCTTCTGGGCCACCCATGATAATAGGGCTATCAAAGGCCATCCAGGGGCACACAGGAATACTCAGTGATTTTCAGAGCCATCCAGGGCCATTCATGGCCACCCATAGCTACTTAAGACTACCCAGGGCAAACAAGGTCATATGGGTTCACTCATAGCTACCTAGGCCACCCAAGGTCACCCAGGGCCATGCATGACCATTCTAGGTGTCTCTTCTCTAAACATGAAAGTCTAGTGTTCTTGAGCAAATTTGTTTATCTCCTCCTTGTGCTGGCTGCACAGATTCCCAGTCAATAGCTGATTTTCTGTGGTTTGCAATTCTCTCAATCCCAGGTTAGGAGACAGGTGACCAGGACCCCACTGAGATTCTACCCACAGGGGCTGCATGGCACATCCACCCTCCACACGGATGAGTTTCCAAAACTGGACAAAAGCCAACATGAGCTGCTACGGTGTGACAGTGAGGCTGGGACTCTGAGTGAGTTACCGAGGTGCACCATGTCTGCCGACTTCTCCCCCGGGTTCTGATACTGCTGGGATGTGGCCAAATGCCTCCATCTGTGGTCTTAGCTTCTCTAGAATGGGGTGCTGACAGTCATACTTCCTGTATCGAACCCGATTCATTAGGGTTTAGTAGCACTTTGAAATCCTTGGAAACTATTTATTGACATTTTATAAGCTGCAACATAACAAATCACTCCAGCAGCTTTCTTAGAGAAAACTCTTTTTGCATCAGGAAAAAGCTGGGCACCAGCTTCCACCTGCTGGCCTGCTGGACCCCTCCCCCTGGAGCCACCATCCCTTTCCTCTTCTGCAGAGCCTCACCCATGGGCGCTCCAGAAAGAGGCAGATTTACTTGACTCAGTGCTAGACTCCCCGGAGGGAGGTGGGGGCACAGAGTTGTGTCCAGTAACTATGACAGACAGACTTCGGACCAGAAGGACATGCTTCTTGGAAAACCCAGAGATACGAGCTGGTCCCACCACAGTCTGTGTCACAGTGGGAGGCATCCTTCCTCAGCGCTCCCGCAGATGGTCACTTGAGGATAGACACGCTTAATTCCTGACTGGGCGCCTGAATGCTCTATAAATACTGACCACAGCGAAGCTCATTGCCGTGCGCGGCCATGTGACCTGTCAGCACTGCCCAGCAGAGAACACAATTAACTCATTTGTGTCTTGTCTATTAGCCTGGGTTTAATGCCCTCGGTGGCACCGACACTGGGCCAGTGCACAGGCGTGGAAATGTCCAGGCTGACACCTGTCACTGTCAGTCATAGGTGTCTGGTGCCTTCAGTTACCTGCACATTTCTCCCCTGGGGAATCAATGATGGTGCCAGAGGTGAGTCTCAGGCAACTCATTTGAGATTTGACTTCTGTGTGCAAACGGCACAAGGGAACACCCAGCTTCTGGCACCTGAACCCACAGGTGTCCGAATCTCGCTCTGAGGTTCCACTTTAGGGTGGGCATGAATCATTTGGCCTCGGAAAATACTGCTAATGTTTTAAGATTCACCCAGAAGCCCATTCAGCAGGAATAACACACGGTGTCTGGAGGAGCTGCCACGCCTGGTCGGTCTCAGTATTTCCGCTGTGAAAGGGCGATCCCCCCATGGAGACAGACCGCAGCAGCTGTGCCAGGTCCTCACTCCCGAGGCTGATCAATTTCCATCTGAGCACACACTCCCTGACCCACCCACACGGCATCCTGAGAGGGACAATGGGCCTTTGATTCTCTTCAAAACATCAACTTTTCAAGAAACTCCAAGAAAATCTAACGCCTGGTTTTTTAATAGCCATTTTTCTAATGAACCCAGCTGTCTGCACCAAGCACCTTCTCCAGTCTCTTTGAGGAAATACCCCTGAATCCTGCGCCCTCCGCTCCTGTTGGCCCTATGAGAAGTCAAATAGGATTCCATCCCATCCTGCCCCTGACTAGGTGATGGGGGCCAGTTACTCAAGCCCCCTAATCTCAGTGCCTACATCTCCAAGACACACAACACAGCCTGTCCCCTCCCCAGGGCTCTCATGAGGATGGAGCGAGGGAGCCGTGGAGGGTTAACAGCCGGGACTCAGCATGAGGTGTGTTTGCTTCATCGTGTCATGTCATCTCAGTAGAAGCCTGGAAGGCTCAGTGAATAACTAGACAGTTAGATAGATTATGGATAAATGATAGATGATAGATAGCTCTGATAGATAGGTAGGTAGATAGTCGAGCTGCTAAATTACTAAAGTCAGGTTAGTTGAGGCATGAGAAAATAATTCTGTTCTTGTTTTAAGGGAACTTAAATCTTTGCATCAATGCCTGGATATACATCAAACCTCACAAAAACCCTGATTACCCCCGAAAGACTAGGGACAGGTGTCCAGGCCGTCTGACATCCTACTATCCAGACCGGTCATCTAGAGGATTCCCAGCTCAGACCAACCTGGGGACTGAGAATGCAGGGCTGATTCATCTCAATTGTACTTTTTAATATAAGAACCTCAGTTTTTCTTTCTTCTTCAGAACACTCTAGCTATTGCCTAGTTGTGTTTCCAATTTGTAAACCCTTGAATACATCTTTATCATTTATTTCTAACCAGAGCCTCCTGATTTTATGTTCAGACGACATTTAATAGATAGATAGACAGGTGTTATATATAGATGATAAATAGGTAGGTAAGTAGGTAGACAATAGATGGTTGATAGACAATAGATGGTTGAGAGATAGATGGATAATATATAAATGATACGTAGATAAACGGATGGATAACTAGATGATAGCTAGATAGACAGATTGATGGATGGATACATAGATGATAGATAGGTAGCTGACATATGGACAGATAGAGTTTTGATCTTAGGATCAAAATTCAAATGATATGTTCACATGCGTAGACATTTAGCAAAGCACTACGGACTGCACACGCCTTGCACGGGTTTGCTTTGAAAGCTCTAAAGTCGCAGCCTGATCCGTGCCATGCCAGGTGTGAGGACGGGTCCCTACCCTTACCTTTGAGCACAGGGCAGATCTTCCAGACGCCGGCAGCCCCCTCCCTGTTGAATTGCCCGAGGGCCAGCTCCATGTAGAAGAGCGGCATCCCCGCAATGACCATGAAGAGCAGGTAGGGGACCAGGAAGGCTCCTGTGGGACAGGACAGCATGGTCACGGAGGGCCGCAGGGCTCAGCCATCTCCACCAACTACACCCGCCTTGGCCCTGACCACAGTCCCCGTCCCTGTTTCTCCCGAAGCTCCCTACCTGGCCACCCTCCAAGGAAAGCCACAGACTGGGTGGGCGAGTCTCCTCCATCCATGCCTAGCCCCACTGTCATCAGAGCTCCGAACCCCTCTAAAGCCCTCAAAGTAATCCTACCCTTACTGAACCCCCAGTGTCCCAGGTTATGGAGTCAACCTCCGAGAGCACAGAGATGAGGCCCTGCCCACACTGTGCTTCTTCCCTGCCTTTGGCCCCTCTTGCTCCTCTGTGGAATGTCTGACCCCCTTGAGTTGCGACTCTTCTGGGATCCGTGAGCCACCTCTTGTGTGGGTTCCGTCATTATCCCAGCCTCCAGCATTTGAAATCTGCCCCGACTGGAGGCTGCAGCCCCTCCAGGGAGGCACCTTGTTCCTCTTAGAGCTACATCCTGCCCCAAGCACAAAGTGCAGGGCTCCAGGCTCTGCTTCTTAAAGGCCTGCCTCAACCGAGAAGGATTTTGCCACGGCCCTCTTCCTGGGACGGGGAGGGAGGCAGCGAGACCCTGCAGCTCTGTCTGTCCTTGGGCAAGTGAATGCACTGCTGAGGCCTCGTTCTTCTCCCCTTGACCTGAGAAGAGTAATGTCAACATACCCACGGGCATGCTGGAGGGCCCTCCTGGCACCGTCTTCCCAGGCCCTCCCTCTGTGCGGTGTGGGTTGGCCAGGGACTCAGAGAGGCCATTAGGGAAATGGAGCACCAGGAGGGGGGGCATGACCAACTTAACTGGCTTTCTCAACTTGAATTTTTGGGGTGATCCTGCCCTGTACCTTCGTGTTCTGCCTGGAGTCCACAGACAGTCATGGTTCTAGGACTGGTTGAGTTCAGGGAGAAGTCGGAGCAGGGGGTGGGGGAAGGGCAGGGCATCTTCCACCACGCCAAACTCAAGGGCCTCACTACGTGATACTGTGTTAAGACACCCTTCTGTGGCCTTTTCTTTCCAAAGTGAAAACCACCCTTGGAAACAGAAGGCAGTTCGACAGTGCCTCCAATGGCTAGCTCCTGCATCCTGCCCTCCTGGCCTCGACTGTGAAGTCCTGACATGGAAGGAGATTGCTCTGGACTCTGTTTCTCTGCTTCTGAGACGTACACCTAGGGAGTCTGTGCCCGGCGAATGCTGTTACAACCCAGTGCCATGTTGCCAGAGTGCTCGGATTTCTCGAAAGCCCTGCTTCTGTTGCCTAGGACCCCAGCCCAGCAGGGCGCACAGAGAGGATGGCGGGACTCACCCCCGCCGTTTTTGTAACACAGGTAAGGAAACCTCCAGACGTTGGCCAGGTCCACAGCGAAGCCAATCACCGAGAGGAGGAAGTCTATCTTCTTGCTCCAGGTCTCCCGCTCCTGGGGCTCCACGGGGGTCTGTGGAGAGTTGACGAGGGTGGAGTTGGTGAGCTGCACCCCATTCTGTTCCTTGACCAGGACAAGTTCCACCGCCTTCGGGCACAGGGCGTTGGGCTCCTTAGCGGGGGCCACCACGGAAGGCATCAGTCCCACTGGGCATTTGCTTCTACTCATGGGCAGATTGGATGGAATCTAGGATTCTTCTTCCCTCTGGTCTTCAGCCAGCAAGAAAAACAAACACACACAGGAATGCAATGAGTTAGTAGCCAGAACTACAGATGTATCCAGTGGCAAGAGCAGAGACCCAAGGCATTTATAATCATTTCTTTGGGGCAGAACAAATACATTCCAAGCAGCCAGGGGTGAGGACGACGGGAGGTGAGTTATTTCTCCTGAGGGCTGGGGGAGACAAGCTGTGGACACCTCAGGACAGACGTCTGCGTTGCCCCCTTCCCCTGGCTCTCCTCTCTAGTCCAGTGAAAGTGCAGGGCTTGTGCAATCTCTGATTTTGCCCTTAACAATAAATAAGTGGTTACCTCTGCCGTACCCCTCATTGCAGGGAGTAATTTACACTCTTTAAATAGCACTCAACAGTAAGACTTTACAAGAGTGCACACCTATTCTTTCCACCATAGCAAAATCACCCACAGCAATGACAAGTTGAAATAATGGTTATAACAGCTTCTGTGAGGAATGCCTACATGACCCATGTACACCTGGGGCACAGTGGCTCACCAGCCCCACCTGGAAGAGACGGCATCATGTCAGCATTCACCTGAGGGACCACGAACGCCTACACTTAGCAACTTTACCAGAAGCTCATTTCCAAGCCCTGGACAATGCCATCGAGGGAACAGAAGAAATTCCACAGTGACAGCCAGGAGGAAGCTGGGCCATCAGTGCCAAGAGCGGCTTCAACTTTGGCTTCTGGCATTTGGACCCAGTAGCATTGCTGCAACTGTTCACACACAGGTGCGCGCACACACACATCCACACACACACAAGCACACACCGTGGTTGAAGCAGATGCATAACAGGATGGAGCTTAATGGGAGTATTTTCCACTATACCCAAGTTTGAACAAAAACTTACAACTTAAGTTCTTTATGCATTTCTCCTCTTTGGCCCCTTCCCCTTTGGTGACAAACCCAACAGCGCATTTCTGAGACTGAAACATGGGCCACGGGGCTGCATCTGCTGGGAGGCAGGTGAGATTGGCGGTGGTGGTGGTGGTGGTGATACGGGCGGGTGGGGGGAGGGGGGGGAACTGTAGAAGTGGCAAATTCCCGCCTTTTTGGTATGACAAAGGCCCTTGCACTCCATCTGGCCACCTGCCAGGGAAGCTGGCACCCAGCATTTGGGGTGAGCTGACCCACTCCTGGAGCCGTGGCCTCAGAGGTCAGGTCTGGGTAAGGGAAGCAAAACCTGGTCTCTTAGAGCCATGGTCAGCAAACTGCGGCTCTTTGGCCCCTTGAGTGTGGCTCTTCCACAAAATACCACAGCCTCGGTGAGTCTATTTTGAAGAAGTAGCGTTAGAAGAAGCTTAAATTTTAAAAAATTGGGCTCTCAAAAGAAATTTCAACCGTTGTACTGTTGATATGGGCTCTGTTGACTAATGAGTTTGCCCACCACTGTCTTAGAGGATCACAGCTGGCTCATAAGCTGTGGTTCGCTGGTCCGTCCCTGTCAGTGCCTGTCATTAGCTTGGAAGCACAGCTCCGAGCCCCTCATCTCAGCTTCACAATCAAAGACAAAACCCTGTGCGATGGAAAATCGGCTGTGATATCACCCTGATGGGATCCGGGGCGCTCCGCCCAGTCCGATTGGTCCTGCCCCGCGTCTGGTCAACATGCAGGAGTCAGTTACAAAGAGCCAAACAGCCGGCGCCCGGGAGCCGGCGCCTAGGGAAGCCGCCCCTTCCCGCTATCCCCGGAGCCGGCGCATCCTGGAGCCGGGCGCGGCGGCGGTCCTGGGTGCTCCACCTGCGGGTCCTGGGCCCGGGGCCACGGGGCCCGCACCAGCCCGCATGCTCCCTCGTGCACACACCTCTCAGCCACCGGCCGCCTTAAGGTCTCCAGAGGCGCTGGGCGCGCTCTGCACCCCGGCTGTGAGCCACTTTTGGAGACGCTGTCGTCGGAGGAACGCGGCGCCTCCGGACGGTGCCCGTCCCAGCCCAGTCCCCCTCGGCTGTACCTTCGGGTTCCAGGGAGCGAACGACGAGCCCGAGGATGCGTGGGGGCGCTTGTGTGGGAAGTCACCTCGGGGTGCCCAGGCCTTACCTGCCCTCCCGGCCTCGGCTTTGCTCTGGGGTCCTGCCGCCTGGCGCCCGCGGAAGCTCTGGCTCGGGTCCCGCTGCGCTGGGCGGTCTCATGCTCCAGGCTTTTATTTAGTCGCCGCCCCGCCCCGCCCCACCCGCTGTCGGGGGCGCAAGCCGGCCGGGCTCCCTTTTCCGCCGCCCCGGGTGGGCGGGGGACGAGCCCGGCCGCGCCTTCAACCCGCCCCTAGACACGCAGAAAACTCTGCTCCAGATCCAGCGTGTCCGGGAGCCTCAGATGCTCGGGAGCGGGGACACCTGTGGGTCCAGGCCAACGGGGTGGGGTGAGGGGGTGGGGGGAGACTGTGCCCTCCCTCCCCCCAGCTCTCCGTGGCCCAAACCCCAACCTGATGCTACACTTCTCCCCAACACCCAGCTCCACAGACTCCTCTCCTGTGGCGGGTTCCTTCCGAGATCCAGCGCCCAGGGGACCTCTCCCTTTGAGGCCACGTGGGTGATACCCTGTCTACACTCCAGCACGGCCCCAGTGACCTCTCCCTCGCCCTGACCTGCAGCTGAGCGCCTCGGTCTCCCAGTCTGGAGGTACGAGATACCAAGTTGTGGAGACCTGGTCTCTCTGTGGCCGCACTACCTGGGCAGGCAGCATGGGGCAAGCAGCAGGAGGTCTTCGTTGTTTGTGCCTGCAGCCATCCATTAGCACCAAGGGGCTGGACTCCTGCTTTCCTTGAAAACTGATTTCCCCCAAAGGCCGGGTGGTCAGTACTAGCTCCAGAACCAAACAGAGTTGGACTCTTCCTAGCCCAGATGCCCTCTGCAAGATTTCACATCATGATGCAGAGGAATGGAGACCCCAGGCCACCAAGCCAGGTTTAGATGCCCCAGGTGTGGAATGGCTTCAAGGTGAGCGGTGGCTTCTGATATGGCAGCTGGCTGGTGACCCAAGTTCCAGGCATTACCAGCCCTGGCATGTGTCCTTTGATTGACCCCACTGTAGGTGTATGTCTACATTCTGTTTGGACTGCAAGTTGCTGCTCAGAATTGTCATGGAAGCAGTGTCCCTTTGCCACACCCTGTCACATCCTCAGTACCATTTCCTCCACTCGCTCTCGGTTTTCATCTGAAAACCAGCATCACTGCCTTACCCACAGCCTCAAGCTAGTGACAAAAACAGGGCTGGTATCCAGCTGCAGTGCCAGGAACTGCTCTTCCAGGCTGATTAGAATCAAGCCATTAGAACTGGTAACTTGTATCAGTCTTCTCCAGCTGCATTTCCCAAATGCGCATTTCCCAAATGCCCTGGCCAGCATTCCCAAATGCCCTCTGCCATTAGTGGGTGCACCAGCTGCATCTGAGGGGGAGGAGGCCCAGGCAGCTGGATTGGATTCCCAGATAGTGTGACTTATACACAACGGACATTTCTTTGTCACAGTCCTGGGGGTTGGAAGTCCAAGATCAAGGCAGGGGCATACTCAATCTCTGGAGAGGACCCACCACCTGGCTCACAGGCATCTATCTCTTTGCTGTAACCTCAGAGGGCCAGGGGGCTCTCTGGGGCCTCGTTTATAAGTTCCATCGTGAGGACTCAATCTTTATGACCCAATCACCTCCATGGAAGGCCCACCTCTTAGCACCATTGCATTGGGTGTTAAAATTCAACATATGGACTGGGGGGTGGTGTACACAGTGCAGTTCGTGGCACTAGGGGTTTCAGGAGATAGTGATGTGTCACCTTGTCTATACACATCAGTGACCCTCACACAGGCTGTTTCTCCCCCACACGTGCTCAACAGCACAGGCTTCCTGGGACAGGAGTGATCAGTGTTAAGGCCTTCATCCACAGTGCCCAGGAAATAAACGGCCATCGAGGAAACCATTGTCCTTTAAATAGGGGACACAGGGTAGAATTCATGAGTTCAGATATGTATTAAACACACAAACACAAAGTGAGAACAAAAAACATCAGGCAGGAATGCAAGCCAGGCAGGGTGCAACTGTGTGACTCCAAGTGTCCCTAGTCCCATGCTGATGCCCTCATTTTAACTTGGTCACTTCTGTAAGTATCTCCAAATGAGGCCACATTCTGAGGTCCTGGGCTACGATTTCAACCTATAAATGGGGGAGGGGGCGCACAATTCATGCCACTCTAAAGAGGAACCTTAGCAGGCCTGTTCTGGAGGGAGCAGCGCAGCTCAGAACATGACATGCCCCAAACCATGCTTTGCTGCTTGGCAGCCCCTCCTCATGAGGGAGGAAGTGAGGTGGTGAGGTGCGGAGTGGGCCCTCAGCAGGAGGGCCTCTGTGAAGGAAAGCCACCAGCAGACCAGGCACATCCCTGGTGCTCCTCTGTGAGCAAGAGGCCAGCTGCTGTCTTGCTCTTGGAGTCCAGTGCAACCCTCACTGCCACGTCCAGTGCGTCTTAGGGCCTTCCCGTCGGTGGCTGGGTTCTACAGCACTGCATCCCTGACCAGAGGGCAGCTGGAGGCCCGAAGCTGCATTTCCCAAATGCCTAGCCATCAGGGCTCAGGTCAGGGCCTGCCACTAGTGGGTACACCTGCTGCATCTGAGGGGGAAGCGGCCCAGGCGGCCGGATTGGGTTCACTAAAGCTCCTCAATGCTGAGACCCACACGCCTCCCACCTTTGTCCTTCCAAACCATCTAACAATTGTTAACCTAATTCTCTGCATGAAATCCCTTTCTGTTTATAATTTGTACAGTGGATGGTGTTCCTTAGTCAGCTTGGGCTGCTGTAACAGAATGCCCCAGGCTGGGCAGCTTGAGCCATAGATATTTATTTCTCTCACTCTGGAGGCTGGAAGTCCAAGAGAGTGCTGGCGTGCTGGGGTTCCGGTGAAGACCCTGGGGTGAGGGTGAGGGTGGGGGGAAGGTGAGAAAAATGGGGGGTAGGGGAGGAGAGGGAGTCAGCACACTTCTGATCTCTCCTTATAAGGACACTGATCCCATGGGGGAGGGGCACTCTCTTGACCTCTAAATGGAGTCACCTCCCTAAGCTCCACCTCCTAATACATCCTCCCTCTGTGGGACCCTGGGGGGAGCACAAACACTCAATGCACAGCAGTCCCAGACCATAATGTTTCTGTTATTCAAAATGAGCTATAGTGCCCTAGGATTTCATTCTCTTACTTGACATTTTTTTGTTTTGAGTTAATAATTGCCTGTTTTTTCCATTGGTTAACTTTCCATATTCTAATCATCCATTCATCTCCAAACTCTGAACAGAAGTGTGTATCTCCTCTGGATGTACTGCAGCATAGGCGGCACTCTGCTCGCTTTTACTGTTGTTATTTGAGCCTCTGTCTCCCCACTCCAATGTGAACAGCTCACCCTCCGGTGCCCAGATGGTGTCCTTGTGTCTCCCATCCCCGCACTTCTGGGACTCGCTCAAACGCTTTCCTTCCTGGCATTTCAAGCATTGTAGTTTTCATGCTGGAATTTCAAACATTGTAGTTTTCATGTTGGAATTCTAAACATTGTAATTTTCATGCTGGAATTCCAAACATTGTAGTTTTCATGCTAGAATTCATATTGATACCATAAAAGACCTTGCGTGTCTCTACTGAAGATATTCAATCTTGTCTCTTGCTGGCTTTCTAATAAACAAGGTAATACAGTGACATTGTATAACAAACGAATCTCACCTAACTCCATCATCTGAGTCATTTCTGAGTCTTTTTCTAATGATTATAGATCGTTTCCTGCCTTTGTTGTTGAAACATCCAGGGATTGGATGCCAGGGATCGTGACTTCTACTTTGCAGGGTGCTGAATAATTTTGCATTCTTGTGAATATCCTGGGACTTTGAGGCTGCAGGTTAGTTACTGATATACAGCCTGGCCATTCTTTTAGGTCTTGCTTTGCAGCTGTGTTCAGTGGGACCAGGGCAGTGTTTTGATTTCCTTACTGAGAAAAAAGCCCGTCAGTTTTCCACCAGGAAGGAGGGTGGATCCAATCTCTGTTCCTTCATTTTGATTGAAAGAAAAATTTTGGATTCTTACGCTTTTATTACATGGAAGGGAATTAATCAAAACCTGACCAGCTCTTGACATTAAATAGCAGAGATGGGCCCTGTTATTAGTACTGGACCAGCCCATGTGCAGGTGGGTCCCAAGACAGGCAGGCTCCCGGTAGGCATTCCCATCCACCTTCAGCCACCCTGCCCACTTTCATGCCACCCAAAGCCCACGGCTGTGGTGCTCTTTTGTTTAGACTGAAAAGCTGTGTCCATCTCTGGATGTAAAATGTCCAGATCCTGTCCTTGCTTTATCCCTTTACTTTACTTAAAATAAATTAATATAACCAATTTCAAATAAGAGTCATTTGTTATGTTAAAAGGGCTGACAAGTACAAAGTAACAGTGGCTGCTGTGTGAATGTGGTCCCTGAGTGTCCTCCTCCAGTCACTCCTAGCGGTGGCTCCCCACTCACTTCTGTGAAGAAACCTTTGAGTGTTACCTGAGCTGAGCCAGTGGCCACACACCCTCGATGTTCTCATGCAGTGTTTGGGATTGTAATACAACAGTTCTATCTGCTTTACCTCTATTTATAAATCCTTTACTGATTTAATAGAAGGACTGCAAAGTGTGTTTAAGGTGTATATGCTCAACATAGAACACATTTACAGAAACAGGGAGACAGCTATGCAAGTCTGAGTTCTGGGAAATGCCATCACTGCCCCAACCCCTCCACAGTGCCCCTTCGCTATCCAGAAGCTGCTTCTACAGAATTTCAATTACTGTGCTTCCCAAACATGCTAGAAATCTCATCTTGACTGCCTCTCCTGTCACAGCCTAAGAAATGTTCTAATAAAATAAAAAAATACTACACATAACAAAGAGCAGCTTCAAGTAGGACTACATTTTATTCATTCCATTACAAACCCAAAGTTCTTCACATGGCACCCCTTCCAGCAGGGCCCCACGTCCCGGCAGAACCCCTCCCCCCATCCCAGCAGGACCCACACGTCCTGGCAGGGCCCTGTAGGCGGAGGGGCCAGGGCTGCACTTGCCCATGTGTCCTCGTCTCATACTAATGGGGTTTATCCCAACACTATGTACATTCACAGTTCAGAATGCCATTGAGTCACTATGAAAGAGAGAAAAGGGATCAGGAGATGCAAACATCCGTTCAAAGTCTGATTATCAGAGATTTTTTTCCTGAAAACGCATCATGGCATTTCATTCAAAAAACCCTTCATGCACAGACATGGAGGATGGAGGCCAAATTCAGGCCCCTTCCCTCAGAACATCTTAGTTTATTCACCTCCTTCATTGGTTATTGGTGGGTTTTTCTCTTTGAAAATGAATATGCATTTTGTGGTTATAAAATCATTCACCGTTAGCCACCGAGGCTGCATCTGAGTTTCTGTGGTGTCCAGCAGGCTGAGTGCCCCTATGGCCCTCAGCACCCACCCCTGTGTGCAGCCTGGCTGGCAGTGAGCAGCTGGACCAGGGGAAGGGGACAGCTGAACCGGAGTTAAGGGTTTTCCTGGCATCTACCGGTAGAAATGCATGTCATGGATGCCTCGGGAAATCAGTAAACATCTTCGCTGTGCTTCTGGCCCTGGTGGTCACTTTCAGTAGAGATGCCCCAAATACAAAATTCAATTAATTTTAGAAATTAAAAAAAAATTCCCCCCAAAGGAACCCAGAGGCTTCAGGACAACAACCGGAGTCTGTGGTTATGATTGTGCTTTAAGGACAGGTTCCAATTCTGTCCTAACCAAATGAACTAAGGGGATTTCAGGAAGAACAAAGACAACACCACCACCAGTGTCCCCCCTTCTGGTGCCAGGAGACTGCTTTCCTCTGACCCAGGTGGGACTGGAGCTGGTCCCTGACAGACTTATGTGGTCTGTCTCCCTGACAGACGGGGCACAGACTGAGGTGATCACGGGCTCTGCTGCTCTCTATGTGTCTGTCTGTACAGCTCATCTGTCTGCAGGGGCAGCTGCTTCGTCCACTCACCATAGAACCCGAGCAGGGGAGGGATGGCCACCCTCCGAGCAGGACGCGCTGTCCCAGGGCTGCTAGAGGTGCACGGCCAAACATGATAAAGGAGCCGGGACCAGTCCTTCCCTCCTGCCTCCCTCATGCCACCCATGTTCAATGCCTCTGTTGGAGCCGACACTACAGTGAAGTAGATGATGTCATATTAAAACAGAAATACCAAACTGGTTATGTTTATAAAAAAAAAGAGGGGGATTCAAAAGGATTAAGGATGGGAGATAGCAGGTCTGGGCTGGTACTCCTGGTGGATCAAACAGGAGGAAAATTGACCTGGTGGAGAGGCCAGAGAGTGAAGTCAAAACCACAGACAGCCTCAGAGTCTATCAAAAAAGAACCTATAAATAAATATCCTCTGACCCTCAAAGGAAAATGAAGTAGAAAAACAACTGTCTTCTTTTAAAAAAAATGCTGAATGTTTCCTGTAGTATCTAAATGAGGTTTATAAAATACTCATGAACTCCCACAAATATAGAAATGTTTAAAAACTGCTGGCAGGCCGGCCATGCTGTGACTCCAGAGTCAGCAAAGGGTGTGTCTGGAATCGAACACATGCCACATGCCCTGCTTTTTGAGTGTGCATAGAGGCTGCCCGCCTGTGCGTGTGCCTCGAACTGACCAACGTGAAGAGTGAGATGAAAATCTGAACCCAGGACACTTGAAAACAAGCCACACCTGGTGTTCACCTACCCCGAGGACCTGCCCGCAGGGAGACCCCTGAGCCCCGCCAAGGTGGGCAGGACATGCCCCACACAGTCTCACTGTGAAGAGTCCTGGTGTCGTGAGCATAAAGTTTCCTTCCAGATGCCCCACAGGCACCCCTCAGGCCGGTGCCCCACAGAGAAACAAAGTGGAAACACCCCAGCCTCTGGCACTTGGGCCTGGGGACAGTGACCGAGCAGCCGACGTGGAGAGTGGAGCCTGGAGGTGGTCACAGCAGAGGGCTAGCGGCCATGTGGAGGCAGGTGGTGACTGCCAGGGAGCAGTCTTGTCTCTCCAGCACCCTTAGTCCTAGTCCAGTTTCTTCCGCACAGGCTTCCTCCCAGCATCCGAGTTCTCGGGGCTGAAGTCGGCACAGAAGCCGTTGGGGGTGAGAGCGGGAAGCGTCTGTGCACAGATCTTGAAAGGCGGCTGGTCGGGGTACAGATACTCCTCTGCAAAGTCGGGGTACGTTTCTGCAAACCTGCTGAAGTCGGCTGGAGAGACGAGGCACATGGTTACTGGGGCTTCGGGAGCAGACATCTAGAGTCTGAAGCTCTTCCCTGGGCCTACATGATCCTCCCTTCTCCTCCCCCTGTCTCCCCACAACCCCCACCCTCCTCTGGCAGGGATGGGGTCTATATTCATGTTCTTGGAGGTGAGGACAAGACCTACATTCAGTTTTTCTCTGCTGTGCACAAAATCACAGCAAAGCAAAGGGGTAGCCATTGCACCCTCTCAGTTACTTCTGCTTGGGGGGAATTTAAAGAAATGATACAATTCTGGGCACTCTGGGGACTCAGTTCAAGTGAGGGAGGCGCTGCACATCACAAGACCTGGTTCAGGGACAGGACAAGTGTCCATGTGGTGACTGATACACCATGAGCCAAGCACTACTGATGGATGTCTGAGCACTGGGGAGACCATGCATGCGTGCATGGAGTGTCACTCTGCAAGCTGGTCACAGGGCCTGAATGCCTCCCTGCCTGTGCATCTCCCAGTGGCTAGAGCTGGTGTTGGGTGGAGAGCACCCTCAGACATCCTGAGAGCAGGTGATGCTCAGAGGCTTGGGTATAGGAGCCTGCAGGCTCCAGGGTCATCCATGTCTCCTTGTAGGAAACCTGGAATGGCTTTTACTGGAAAAGTCTACAGTTGGTCAGGCTCATTACCAACATCATCAACAATCCCCAATCCACTGGGAAGCAGGGCCTACTTTAATGCAGACACACACACACACACACACACCCCTACCTCCCAACCCACATCTGTGTCTGACATTTGGATGCAATTTTAAAACATGTCCAAACAAGACGTGCACAATGACCTTTCTTGAGCAAATGTCTGCTAGTTTTTCAGCAAGAACGCTTACTCAATGTGAAATGTGCACGCTGACCAGTGCGCAGAGCAGAATGCCTTCCAAGATCCTACTGCCCAGCCCCCAAGCTCATAGGTGGGTTTCAGGTCCTGGCTCCTGAGGATCAGGCCAGCCTGCTCCGTGCAGCCACAGATAATGAAGCCAAACCTTCCAGAGAGGAGTTGTCCAGCAGAGTCCTCAGGGCAGGTGACTCGCTCCTGCACTGAACCCTGAAGGCAGAGGACCTGCCCTGGTCTGGCCTGGCACATGTGCCCACAGCCCCAGGACAGCGTTCATCCTGGTCCCAGGACTACTGGGCTTAGAATTTAGTTCTATTAATCGTCTACAGAAATCAGATTTGAAAGCTCCCACCCTTCTGGCCAGGTTTTAGGAAGAACCTTCCTCCTGAGAAGCTCTGTGTTACGGAAGATACAGAGTGACCTGGCAAGCACAAGTGGGTGGGGGTCCCATGTGTGTCCTCACTTCTGTCACCACTGGGCCACCCTCCCTGCTCCCAGGCTTCTCACCAAACGTGATCCTCCCCTTCTCCTCCTGGTCGATTGCCCGAAAGAGGTCGGTCACGGTGAGTTCTGCCACCCCTAATGCCGTCTTGAGGATGCTGGACAGGGCATCCTCGTCTATGCTACCATCCTCCTGAGACCCGTACATCTGCAAAGCAAGGCCGGTGTCACCCCGAGGTCCCCTCCTCCATTCTCAGGCCCCACCAGCCCAACTGCCTGCCTAGAGTGGCCTGTTCCTCCTCCCCTTGCGGCTCAGCAGGCCCTGATCCACCAGACAGCATGGCCAGAACCAGCGTGCCATCCTAGGGAATGCTGAGCCCCTGAGTGTGACCCGCCCTCCCACCTACAGGTGTGTTCCACCTGTAACCCACATCTCACTGTCCCATATATTAAACTCACGTGAACCCTGCACTTGCCTTGAAGGCCAGCTGTATGGTGTCCAGGGTCTGGGCAGGCCGGCAGACGACAGACAAAGCGACCACGTACTCTCGAGGGTCCATCTCGCCGCTCCCGCTCTGCGAAGAGACACTCTGTCAGGAGCAGCCCGGCCACCTCCCGGAGCTGAGGTTCAACACTGGCTGCTGGGTGTCAACACAAGGTTATTTTCACACCAACTTGAGATCAGGTATCTACATGAAGAGAGCATCTGAAGAGCGCTCCTAACCACTGGCTTCTCCACTCTTTAGGCTGTTAGACTGGATCTTCAGTGTGACTGTCACATGAAGCTGCTCAGGAAGGTATGTGCAACGTGATGACTGTTGCCTGCCTTCTAGAAAACAGACCTGCCCATAACCAGGCTCACTTCTGGGCTCTGAAACCTAGCCTGCTGGTGACCACACAGTGAGCGTGCAAATCAAAGGGGAGCCCAAGCAGATGTGGACACACCGGATGAGCACACTGGGTCCCACGCCTATGCCCCTGACTCTGGGAAAGTATGTAATCTCGGGTCTGAGGCTCTCTGTGAAATGGAGAATATTCCTACCTGTGCCACTAGAAAGACCACTGTGCCCTAGAAATTGTGAAAAATAAAAACAAACAACCCACACATGGTGACAAGAGGTCTGGTGCTCAGTGATGATAGCGCATCAGCAGATGTCACCAGGATGTCACTGGCTGAAACCACACTCACTCTTGTATTTCAAACCTGACCCTGTTGTCATAGCGCCCGAGTGAGATGTAGCCACAAATCCACCCCAAGCTGTTTTACACCAGGGGTCGCCCAGATGGGCCGGATCAACTGCACGCTGTGGTGCCACAAACCTGCACACTCATGGGGTCTCTAGAGCCCACGTCACTCACCAGCTTCTTCAGGTTCCACCACGCTGCACCTTGTGACCACACAGAACATGATACATTGTCACATGGAACATGCTGTGTTGTACACACATGAAATTCTAAGTGTTCACACAGAACACCCAATGTTGTTCACATGCAACATGCTACATTATTCACACAGAACATACTACGTTTTTCACAGGGAACACTCGTGGCTGAAGGAGCCCCTTCACACACACTGTACCACGCTGACTATTCCTATAGGATGTATTGTACAGGGGTCTGACTGCGATACAAATGTCCAGAGTGACCAGGCGTGGCTGGTTTCTGGCTACATGGCAGCCTGCCCTCCTGGTTCTCTGTCTCCCCCACTCTCCCTCCCCCCATTCCCAGAGCTGCAGTGATGTGTTGACTCTGTGCAGCCAGCACATATGACCAATTATGACATTCGAGGTGGAGAGGGGAGGGGGTGCTCCTCAGGGGGAGATCCCCAAGCTTTAGACAGAGACAATGGGGAACCACTAAGCCAAGCATCCAGAAAGAGGCCATGTTCTGAAATTCTGAAGGCCTGGCTGGGCTGGTCAGTGGAGGCCTCTGAGAAGAGACATGGCAGCGGGTAGGCCAGCATTGCTGTGTGATATCACTTGGCCTTTTAGAGATCTGATCTAAGGAATCCCAAACTACAGACATGTTTATCAGCACATGTTAACTGAATTGTCAGGTTCTTTGTGCATTTAAAACCACGAAAAGAAAATACTCCCAAGGACAGGGTAGGCTGGTAGGATGGGGCCACTGAGGAATGGTTTTCCCATATCTACTTCCAAAACTGTCTACAGAATGTTTACATTACAAGGAAAGCAATGTATACTTTGAGGTCGAAGGTTTCCAACCCCCAACCCCAACCCTACCCCCACTGGGTGATGTGCTACCTCGTCAAACAGGGAGAACATGTCGGCCAGTGGGTCGGAGACGGGCACTTCCAAGTAAGCCGCAAACTCCGAGACGTTGATCTTTGCCCCCTTCTTCACCCCAGCACTTTCCGCATATCTATCCAGATCTTTTTCAAGTTTTTCTGGTTTTAGACTAAATAAAAAGAGAGGAAAAGTTTTGTTTTTGTTTTCCAATAAAATCACAGAATGCCAAAAATAGAAGGCTTACTGTTTTAAGACCCAACAAATTATCAACACGATTTATAGACCAAGCTGCTAATTTTCAAGAACACACTTCTCATATCCTGAAGGCCCACAATGCTTTCTGCCTAAGCATCTGCATAAGCATGTTCACCCCTCGGCAGGGCGGCCTGTGGGCAGGACGTCCTCTGGGGGCAGCTCAGAGAGAGTGGCACCAGCCACGAGGGGCTTTTTGGCACTTCAGTGTGGGCTGAAGTTGGCATACGAAAAGAGGACAATAACTGGACCGCCAGAACAAGCGCTGCAGCTCTCCTTGATGCCCTGTCTCTAGTGACATCAGGCAGCCCCAGGCGCTTGCTGTGACCTCCAGCTCGGTCCCCAACACCTGAAGGTAGAGGCCCCTGCGAGGTTTTGCCTGGAGTTTGTGGTCCAGTGCAAAGCTATTCTTCACTGCTGCTGAACACAACGCACCTGCCCTGTCACACATCACAGCCCCAACGCTTGTCACAGCATTTGAGGGAGTTCCTTTTCTGACGAACTGATCAAGAATAAAAAAACCCAGGCACTCACCCCAGGCCCCGCACAAGCCTGGCGAATTCCAAAAGGCAGGTGTCTGCAGGGAGCCGAAGTTGTCCTTCTGCCAGGGCCAGCTGGCAGTCCTCAAAGGTATAGTCGGTCACGGAGATGCCCAGAGCCCTGCAGTAGAGAGGAGGCCTGCCGTGAGCACCCTGCACAGCGGCCGTCCCAAGTCACAGGAGCCCCTGTGATCTCTTGAAGTCTGCTCCGATGGCAGACACCCTGGCAGAGGCAGTGCTGCATGCGCATCCTGCACCCTGCTCTGAGCCCCTGGGGTACCCTCCTCACACAGCGATTATTAGTACGTGAGGGAGGACTCTGAATGCTGAGATGCACAGAAGGGCAATGTGGGAAATTCATGTTTAGTACTAAACATAAATGCCTAATAGCTGACCCTAAATTTCAATCACTTAAAACTTGGGGCTGCCCAAGTTTGCACCCCATTAGGAAACAACCATGCATTTGGGCTTGAAAGATGACACCACCACCCCACAGGATGTTGTATGGAGAAGCTCAATTCTTCACAAGTGACCGGGATTGCTTTTATCAGAGCTGGCACCTCCCTGAAGCTGGGGGGAGTCAAACTTGGCCATTCAGAGCTGCATCTGGGTTCATGAGAAATAACCTTTCTTAGAATAGAAAACTAAACAGCTCCCCACCCTCATAACTGAATGGGCTTCAATCATTTGATAAAAGTTCCTGTTGCCATAATAATGCAGTGTGCAATCACATGAAAAGGAAACAGTGACTCTGACATTCTTTTTGACAAACTCAGGTATAATCCTTTGGAGACAGAAGCCAGAATTTTTCCTCAGGAAGGGGAATGAGGTGGCTGAGGGGCTGTCCAAGAGCCCCTGGGGATCCCGGCCCCTCCCAGGAGCATTTGAATATGAAACTAGAGATGAGGGAGGCAACATCCCACTGAAATTCTCCTGCAGCCGCTGAGGCGAGGCGGTGACCCTTGGGTTATCGGTCCTCTTCCTTTGAATTAATATGGACAGTTTCTTTAGGATATATATCTTTAAAAATGTTAACAGTTAATTCATTTCAGTGTGTACGAAGAATACTTATTACCCAACTTATTGAGCCTGCAATTCTATGGATGGACATTATTTTTTTATCAAGAGGTTAAACAAGGGTGTCACTGAGCGTCCTGACTTCCCAAAAGTTGAGGATCAAGCACATCCTGGTGGCAGTGTGAATCAGAGAGGGAGAAGAAGAGGGAGTTTGGGTAGGGGGGGAGGGCAGGTCCCAAGGTAAGGGAAGGAGCATTTCACTGCACTCTATCCCTAGCGCCCAATTTCCTGAAGAGCCTGTGGACAAAGAACAGCTTGCTGAGTGTTAATTCATGTATGCTGAAGTGAGATGCAGGATTTTGCCCAATGGAGTCTTATAGAATGCATTAACGTGGGGTGCAATGTGAATACTGAAATGCTTTATCTTAGGAGTCTAAGCCACACAGGTCAGCAATAGCAACTGTTAAAACCCCCTTTGCAGCCGCGTGGACCCCCAACGAGTGGCACTCACTGTCAGAGCCGCTGAGCCCCCTGCAGGCACCGAGGTGGCCAGAGTCAGAGGCAGCCCCTGCTGCCCTGGAACAGGAGAGAGGAGGAGAGGGGAGAAGACGTGATGGGAGGGATGAAGGTCCAGAGGGGCAGGTGTAAGAGCTGACACTACCACTACCTGGAACAAGCTGGGAATGGCCAGCAATAGGAGGTGAGTATGTTCCTGACTGTGGCACGGGTGCCGTGCAAATGGGACGAGCTACTGCACAAGATTAGGTGCACAATTACCACACTGAACTTGGTGAGATGGAGCAGAAATTTTAATAAACACTGAGTGGGTAGATGGAGAGAGAAACTTCGAGATCATTCCAGCCTAGACAGATGCTGAAGTCTGCACAGGCCATCGCTCTCACTGACAGCTCTGCTGCTGGCCACACTGGGGCGCCCACACATGTGGCACCAGGCTGACTGGTGGCTATGGGCACACCTGACATGAGTGAAACTAAGTGACGTTTAAGGATCTTCCAAATGTTATCTGACAAAAACAGGAGATATAAAGTGTATGTCCAATAGGCAAAATCCATACTGTTCACTAGCTTTTGCAAGAACCCATCTTCCTAATGCTATTGGCTTCCTTGTTTGTAGCAGCACTGAGGAGGAAAAGAGCAGGTAAACAAGAGTGCTGGGTAATACTTAGGGAAAGGAAGTCAGGAGGCCAGGAGGAGGCAGGGCACACTCACTCGGCCATGATGCGTCGCACATTGCTGGCATACAGGGCGGGGTCTTTCTTTTCCTCCTCTGAAGGGTTGTACACTGGAAGGAACTGAGCACACAGAGAAGGCTGCGTCACTACCACCGTATCACAAGACACCCCCCTTACCAATGCCGCTGTGAGTGACAACTGTGAGTCTGAAAAAATTAAGATCCGTCAAAGCACTTCCCACTAGTATCATGTTTGAAGTGGTCACACGTGCACATGTACATATGCTCATACCCACAAGCACATGTATGCACAGGTGTGTATGAAAACTCACAACTTGCCATTCCTCACGACGCTGCAGCTGTAGCCAGTACACTGTATTTGTAATTTCACACAGGGGCTTAGTCTTTAGACATAAAAGAATGTGTGTTTTCATTTCTAAGGACTCAGTTTTGTGTTGGGGATTACACAACAAATTATCTCTACGTAAAAGACAATTACTAGCTTTTGGACATCTACACAATGTTTTAAATAAGTCCTACCATGCAGAAAAGGCAAACAATCACCACTGAGCCCTTTTCTTTAACACTAATATTTAAGACTACAGGAATATCCCCAAATACTATAAATTCTCATAACCAAACCCTTTGCTTACAGCTACATTGAAAAGAACCACACAAATTGTAACAGTTCCTCACATTAGCACCAGTGTCTCAGAGGAATAACACCAGGAATTATGTGTAGAGGGATTTCATAAGCCACGAAGCCTCTTTTCAATGCTTACAATAAGAAGCCAGATCTGAAATAGAGCTGTTTCTACCAGAAGGCCCAGAGCAGGCCCAACTTGTCTTTCTCAGAGCCTGGCTCCACTGTGCTCTGAGCCACCAGCAGGCGAGCCACATAAAATATTCTAAGCTGTGAGCGTGCTACCCTTGGCTCAACCCTGAGTATTAAGTGTCTTACTGCATTCTACTGAAATAAAAAAAAAAAATAAAAAAAAACCTGGCAGAAAGCCGGTTCATTTGTAGTCAGTATTACTCTGTAAAATTGATTGGAAGGTAGTAAAGTGTTCCATGAAATACTTAAGTTGCATATGACTCATCTTTAATTTTCAGGTGCTGGAATAGCCTGGTAATTCCCTTTTTAAGAAAATAAACTCTACTTCTCATCCACTCAGATCAAATTTACAAGTTGAACAAATATAGCTATATTTAATTTAGATGAGAGAATGGGAGTTGTGACTTTTCTGATACATCCAGTGAGATGCAAACTTAAAGGAAGGCTACTTGATCTGACCAAGTATCAAAGAAAGGAAGACAGTATGACAAATTTAGCAGTATAAATTCAGCAGTATTAGTATCAAGTAAAAAAAAAAAGCTAAAAAATTTATTCATTGCATATGTGTATGATGGGATTAGCTTCCTTGTTGTTTAAAAAAATTGTATCTGGCCGAAACTGGTTTGGCTCAGTGGATAGAGCGTCGGCCTGTGGACTGAAGGGACCCGGGTTTGATTCCGGTCAAGGGCACGTACCTTGGTTGCGGGCACATCCCCAGTGGGGGGTGTGCAGGAGGCAGCTGGTCGATGTTTCTCTCTTGTTGACGTTTCTAACTCTCTATCCCTCTCAATTCTTCTCTGTGTAAAATTAATAAAAATATATTTTAAAAAAATTGTATCTGAATAGATTAGAAACACAAAGTGATTATTGTAAAACTACTGGGAAGCACCTCTAAGAAGTCATGAGAAATGGCAAGGGTTCTAAGAGACAGATGACATAACATTGTGTCTATAGAGATATCAATGTAACATTGTATCTACGTAAACCCAAGATACCACTAACACTATATCTACATAGACACCTCTATAACATTTTATCTATAAAGATAGCATAACATTGTATCTATAAAATGCCTTGATACAATGTATTTATAACCCCAATGTAACATTGTGTAAGCACTATATTTATACAAACCTCAATTTCAATTTGATTGTGAAACTGACACAGGGTGAGCCACAGGATTTCTAACCTTAAAAACAAATAGATTTATAGCACTGGTTAGAAGATTCTGTTTAGCAAAATCTTCAAACCCCTTGCCCTGCAGAGGGCAGTACTAGGCAGTTAATTCTCCTTCAGGAGACAGATGCTGAGCCTTCTTCAGCCTAAATCTAAACCTTAAAATACATCAGTGAGAGAAATAGCGGTCTTTACTGTTCTTATTAAATTCGTCCATATCTGAAACCTTGCCCACCAGTCCTCACCCATGGCGGCGCAAACTGGACAGGCCCTCGCTTATGCCACTCCCATGCCTGGCTCCCAGAGTTCCTGACTTCGGAGCCAGCATTTAAAAATTTTTAATTGCAGAAACTGGAAATGGGGAGCCATCCAGAATACCATTCCTGGGCCTTCCCTTACTACCCCCTTGATACACAGTCCCCCTTCGTAACACTCTTAACACATCCCACTTCTGCCTCATAGACAGCCTCAAGCCCAGGCCACCAGGAGCCCCTTCCAGTCCTTCTCCCAGCTTCTCACCATCTACCCCCCCACTCCAACCTCAGAAACAGAGGACCATCACTTGGACATGCTGCTCCTCATGGCACCTCCCAAGCATTCTGTTCTAAATACCTTCACAAGGCCCGGGGGCCGTGGGAGGGCACCCACACTTCCATTTCCAAAACTGCAGCACCCTGGAGGCCCAATGTGCCTGGATCCCTGTTCCACAGCCCTCTCCCCCCCCCCCCCCCCCCCAATAGCTGAGCAAGAGGAAGGCAGCCCCTGGAGGTCTGCTGTCTTTTCCAGGGACAGGATAACTGAGCTGATAGACTGAGCTGATAGACGCAGGGTGGGAAGAAAAAGATTCTCACAATTGTCTTCCCAATGGGGCTGAAGACAATGAACTTAAGTCCTGGAACCCAGGGTGTGAGGACAGACCAGATTTTTACATTCAGTTTCCACAACAGGCTGAACCTAACTGCTGTCAAATAGTAGTGGGTCATGTGTTCAGGTTTCACATTTGTTAAATTAACTGGAGCACTTTCCTAGGAGGACAGAACAAATGAGACAGCACAATGTCTGACTTACGCTCCAGGGCCTTGCCACGTCCACGTGATGGTGTCCTAGGGGCAAGAAATGAATGGATGAAACATGACTGGGAGTCAGGCATCAGAAATTCCTGGGAAGGCCACATTAGCCCCTCCCTCCTTCCCCTTATCCTAACTTCCTCTGCTGCCCTTCTCCTTCTCCTCCTCCTCCTCCTCCCTGCCTTCATTCTAACCTTCCTCTGACCCCAGATGCTGAGCTCCTCATCCTCTCAAATCCACTCTGGGGCAGAGAAAAAGGTGGGTGCTCACCACCTAAGACCCCTCCCAGCCCCTTTTCCTGCCTACCCCCCCCCCAGGTATCCTGGCAACCTCAATTTACAACAAGGAGCCTCTTTGTCCATCTGCTCCCTCAGACTTGCTCATGAGGGCTTGCGACATCCAGCCAAGTTCCAACACCACACCCGCCTGCACCCCCAACTCCAGCGAGGTGGCCCCAGGTTTGGAAAGTAGAACAAGCCACTGCAGAACCATGACTTCCGCACTCCGGTGCCAGGCCAGGGCCCCACAGGGCATTTCTGACCCCTCCATTCTCAGCCTCAGCAGGCACAGCAGCCACCTAGGTGGTACATTGGAGGACAGGTGCCTGTTTCTATCCTGACGAAGGTCCCCTATGAAAGCTTTTTCCTTCTGCAGTCCTAACACCCATGCACTCCTCTCATAGGCTCCAAAAACCCATGGCACAGGGTTCCTTGCCACCCATGTGGCCCCCTCTATGCAGGTCTGTGCTCAAACCTGCCAGCATTGGGCTATGCTGTGACTACTGGAACCTATAAAAAAAAACCTTGCTTATAATACGTTCATGGGAGAAACTTAAAAAACGGAAAATCTAGAATTCTGCACACCAATGACAGATTCTCTTATTTGCAGAGACTGAAGAACAAACACACCTCTTTAGTTTCAGAAGAACAATTTTAACTGCGTGGAGACCAGTTCTGACTGACATTTATTAATGTCACATATGTTAAATTAACTGGAATACTTTCCTAGGAGACCATTCAGAGAGCCTCCACTGCGCCTGTCCACACCTGTAGGCCCCGTGGGCAAATCTCAGACGCTATAGGCCTGGCTCAGATGTCATGTGTAATTCTGCACCATCTATACCAGAGACTTCAGAGCCCACCATGTCCTGGCCGGTGGGTTTCTTCCTTTGCCGTCATAAAGACACTGCAACGGAGAGAAAGCTCCGTGTTACGAGCAGATCTGCCTCAGGTACCTCCGTGGAGAACCACTCCCGAGTGTCCAGGGCCCAGGCAGGGCGGGGACACGTGTGTGTGTGTGTGTGTGTGTGTGTGTGTGTGTGTGTGTACCTCTCTTGGCTGCAAGGGCCCTCAGCCCATCAAGGTGAGAAGACACCCTCGGACGGGGTTACAGAAGTGAGATGCAGCCAGCAGGGCCCTGGCCAGAACCTGCTCTGAGGCCTTGTCCCAGCTCTGCCTCTGAGCTGGGGATCCATCAAGATTGTCTGGGAGCTCTGAGACCCAAACACCCCTTCTTTTATTTTGTTCTCTTAGACAAAATAAACAAAACCTCTGTGCACAACAGAGGCAAGATAAAGGCACATGAACCACAAAGTCACCTAACTCCTTTCTCTCCTACTGCCTCCAGCCCTTCAGAACTTCAATATTCTTAATTTAAAAATTTCCTAGAGTGTGAACTAGGCAGTGACAACTGCTGAGGACACTGGGCAGAGAGGGGGGATGTTCACCTGAAAATGTCAGGGTCGATCACATGAGAGGAGGTCCACTCCCTGACCTATGAAAGCAGGATTTTGTGTGTGAATATTTGGGAATATTTGGAATAGCAAGGTTGACTGGAAAACCAGGGTTTTCAAACACCTAGCATTTCTCACTCCCAGGCCCTCCACCTGAACACAGATCCGCAGAAAGAACACACTTACCAGCTTGTTTGGGTACCGCAGAATCACTGGCTGGACGGGAACTCCCGGGATGAAGGCACCTGCAGAGAAAAGGGACACAGGAACTGTTTTATTGCCAGGGCGGCAGGTCCTGTGCCTGTGTGGCCCATGCTGGCCTTAAAACAGGATTCCTGCAAGGCTTTCCTGGTCAGCAGCAATCCCTTGCCTGGAAAGCCCTCCCCATCTGTGCTGGTGGAAAACACAGAGAATTCCAGGGTCACAGCCCTGCTGGCAGGGAGCAGACATGAGTGTCTCCAGGCTGAGCTGCACTTTGATAGGACAATTGGGAGCACTGGTGGAAGTGAGGGTCTCCTCCACTTTTTCAAGGAGAAAAAAATAATTAAGAAAACTATAGCCTGGCTGTGTGGCTCGGTGATTGAGTGCCGACCCATGAACCAGGAGGTCAGTTTGATTCCTGTTCAGGGCATATGCTCAGGTTGTGGGCTCGATCCTCAGCGAGGGGTGTGCAGGAGGCAGCTGATCAATGATTCTCATCATTGATGCTTCTTTCCCTCCCTCCTACTCCCTTCCTCTCTCTGGACTCAATAAAAAACGTTAAAAAAAAAAAGCTACATACCAGGTTTGAAGGTAATTAGGCAGGTCCTATTGGTACAAGTTCCCTCTGGAAAAATCATTATCTTGAAATAAAATAAAAAAGAAAAGAAAAAAAGAGTTTAGCAATAAAGGGACATAATTCAGAATTCACAGGTGCCAATTTTGACAATCTATTTCCCTACTGCTGACATAATTTAGATACTTTAATCATTTTCAGTTGAACAAGGTGAAACGCATTATGGAAGATTATGCTGATTTCTTCTCTAACTATGGGATTTATTAAAATCTGGAAGCAACACAAGTAGACAACAGCATGTGCCTTCTTAGACTAGGGAGTTGCATATGCTACTTGTGGCCCCTGCCTCCTGACTGCCCAGAGGTCCAGACACACCTGCAAAGAGCAGGCTGTCAACGGGAGCAGGCGTCCAAGGCAGAGGAGGACAGGGGCACGCAGATGAGAGCGTGTGGCTAAAGGACTCGGAATGGCCCTGGGGAAGAGGGTGTTGGCCAGCAAGTGGGAACCCCAACAGAATCCACAGTAGACAACACCTTCTCCACGGCTGAGAAATACAACCTGTGTGGGTGTTTTCAATTCTGGTCCCTGAAGGGAAGACCATCCCCAGGTGATAATGAGCCACCAGGGGTCTAATCCTGGCATGTCCAACAGTCAGGCAGGTAAGCTGAAGGAGGGGCAGGAATGGCCTGCACTTGTAGGGGTGCCAGTCAGGGAACCACTCCAAGTGGCTGTCCACGGGCACATGTGCTGGGAGCCAGCACCCCTCATGTTTCCTGAGCAGCCAGAACCCAGAGTCTGGTGGGATTTCCAGCTTCTGAATGTTGGCTCAGTTTAAAAGAAGAAAAATACAGCTTGGGTCAAACACTTCGACGGCTAATAGCAGCCAAGGCCTGCGCCTAATGGCCCGGGTCAGGAACCAGGTGCACTCAGGAAGCTCAGCCCATGACCACGAAGCAGTGGGCACCTTATAGATGAATACTCTGCTCAGAAATGCGGTGGTGCTAACCCTGAGGACCGGGTAGCAGGTCTTTCTGACTCAAAACTTATACAAAGATTTGTTGTTAATAAAGATGATTGTGGGAACTTGAGATGCAGGTCTGAATGATTTCTTCTTATTTCTTTTAATTTTAAAATTTCAGAATCAAAAGCATTTAGCAGATTCTTGAATTTACACACTCATCAGAAATAAAAGGAAACTAAACACAGCCAGTCCCCATGGAAGGCAGGTTCTGGCCCTTTTGTTTCTTCTCCCCTCAGTCTTTAAGCTCACATCTTCTGGAATAAATTCACTCAAATGCAAGCAAGGCCGGGTTACCTGTGGCCACTTGCCATTCGACTGCGCTCGTCTCTTGATTTCCTCCACGGTCCTCCTGCGAGAATCCTGGTCTGATCGGGATACGAAGACGGGCCGTATGTATTTGATCAGAGCTGAAAGGGAAGGGAAGGTGTCATGTGGGGATACACCACTTCTGCTGAGCAGGACTGAAACCCCTAGAAGTTCCAGGGGCTGTACCATGGGGTGGGTAGGAGTCCATGACTGGGCACAAGGGAACCGGGAAACCACCAAAGCTTCCGGTAAACTTAGAGGACAGCACGAAGCCTCAGTAACAACACTGAGTGTCCACAGGAGGTTAATCAGGGAGCAGAGAGCCCCTGTCACTGTAAATAAAGAAGGGTATGAGGGCCCTGGACTCAAAAAGAGTCACAGGACTCAGGACACATGGCTCCTATTGTGGGGTGAACTGTGTCCCTCAAAAACATAGGCTGATGTCCTAGCCTATGACAGTGATCTTATTTGAAAAGATATATTTTTAAAAAATATATATTGATTTCAGAGAAAAGGGAGAGGGGGAGAGGGATAGAAACATTAATGATGAGAGAGAATCATTGATCGGCTGCTTCCTGCATGCCCCCTACTGGGTGGGGATCAGGCATATGCGCTGACTGGGAATCAAACTGGCTGAGACTTCCTGGTCCATGGGTTAACACTCAACCACTAAGCCACAGAGGCCAGGCAGAAAGAAGATATTTGCAGATGTACTCAAGGTACAGGGAGGTAGTCTGGATTGAAGTGGGCCCTAATCAGTGACTGGGTTTTTTTGTTTTTGTTTTATAAGAAAGGATAATAGACACAGAGGGAGAGAACACTACTGTCTGCCTCTGCCTAGACAAGCCCTGCTCCAGAATCCACATGAAGTTTAAAAGGCAGAGAGGGTAGCCTGAATGGCACAGTTGGGTAGAGTCTGTCCTGTGCACTCAAAGGTCACAAGTTCAATTCCTAGTCAGGACACATACTCAGTTTGTGGGTTCTATCCACCAGGAAGAGTGGGTACAGAAGGCAGCCAATCAATGTTTCTCTCTCTCTCTCCCTTCCTCACTCTTGAAAAAAATAAATAAAAATATATCTTTGGTGAGGATTTTGGAAAAAAAAAAAAAAGGCAAAAGCTGGTTGGCAAGGAGAGTAGGGGCAGGGCCCAGGCAGAGCAGCTGGAGGAACCATGGGATGGAAACCTGGCACAGGCTGGCCAACCCTCCAGGGGCACCATGGGCAGTGCTCCAAGAGGGCTGGGCCAGGCTTGGCATCTGGGGTTCTTTCATCTGTGAAGTGAGGGAACCATGTAAAGTACCCAAGAGACCATCTAAAGTGCCCAGGATTCCTTTCAGCTCCCACAATAATGGTGAATGTGCTCGGTGGTAACCCCCAAAAGATGTGTCTATGTCCTAACCCCCAGAATCTGTGAATGTGACATTTAAAAACTGCACATGTACTAGGTAAGGATCTTGAGGTGAACTCACCCTGGATTGTAAGACACAGACAGATACAGACACAGGGAGAGGCCCTGGACGATGGAGAAAGAGGTGGAGTGACTGTACCGCAGGCCCAGGGACGCCTGAGCATCAGAAGCTGGGGAGGCAGGAAGGCCGCCCCCACCCCCATCCTACCCCCGGAGTCCCAGAGGGGCTCAGTCCTGAGATAATGTGATGAGGGCCTTCTGGCTCCGGAATGAGAGAGCACACAGTTCTGTTGTTTTAAGCCACAGTGATCTACCATGCAGTCTAAGGACCTCCTGGGTTTCGAGAACAGTAACTAGTGTGGTTGGACGGAGCCTGTGCTGTGCCCAGACTTCTAGGATTCTTGGTGCTAGAACTTGAAGAAGTACTTCAACAAATTATATTTAAGGGCACAAATGAAAACTAAAACCCACAATGACTAATACAGAGGAAATCACAACAAAGGAAACATAACAGGGACACAAGCCCAGGGCCTATTTCACGTGGGAGTGACCTGCACTGTGGGCGGGTGGAGAGGACGTCACTCACTTCCCCATATTGGGATGTCTCTGCTCTCGGCCTTCATCACGATGGAGGACATGGTCATGGTGACGGGGATGGCATCGAAGTAGGAGGAGTGTGGTGCCAGGGTGAAGATGGCTGCTTCAGTGGGCAGGGCCTGCCGCCCCTTCACGGTCACCCGGTGGAAGCCGCCGATGAACCACATAGTCCGCATGATGGCCTTGAGCAGGAAGTCCACAACCCTACGAAAGAGGATACAAGTCAAACAGGAGTCTCCTGCCTCCTGTGGACAGTTGTGGATATCCTTGAACTGGACGAGCTCATTAGGAGAGCACAGAGACTCACTGTAGTTGAGGTCAGGGAGAGGTAGACACAGCCAGCAAAACAAGAAGGGACACATGGCAGGTAAAGGGTAACAGAGGTGGGGGGATAACTGGACACTGAGGAGACAGTGTGTCCAGGTAGAGGGCGCATCCTGACATCGAACCCTGGGAGTTGGTCCCTGAACATGCAAGCATGTGAAGAGTGGGAAAGAGCCCAGTCCACTTTGGTTTTTGAGATCCATGTGGTCCTGGAGACCGCTGATCTGCATGTTTCAAATGGTTTTACTACAAAAGGGAGCAAGTACCCAAACAAGGGGAGAGGTAAGAGCTGGCCTGTATGTTGATGGGACACTCTGCCTACTGTTCCCCCTTCCTTCCCCTTCTATGAAGCAATGACAGCTGATGATGCACAGGAGAGGCCTGAGGCCATATCCTGGGGCTGTGAGGACAGGAAGGGCCTGGGCCACGTCCTGGAGCTGCAAGGAGCTTCAAGCTCAATGCAGGCCTAGGCTGGCCAAGAGCAGGGCCAGTCCTTGGGCAGCAGGTCTAGAGGCAGTACTGGGCTGCAAACTGGAGGTGGGGACCACTGGGTTTCTCCAGGGAAATCCCAAGCTAAGACCCTGGAGGCTTCTAGGAGAGCAGAGAAAAGCTGAAAATAAGTTCAAGTCCAGGCCCTAGTCTCCAGGGCACACATGGCACCACACTGTCATGAAGATGGACTTCTCAGATCTGAGAGCAGAGTTCCCCCATGAAGCACGTGGGACTGAACCATGTCTCCCAAACTCCTATATTTTGAAATAAGGTGAAATGAGATCATAGGGTAGGGCTTGCATCTGATAGGATCAGTGTCTTTATAAGAAGCAGCAGCAGAAAGACCGGAACACTGTCCTGTGAGGACACAGGGGGAAGGTGGCATCTGTAGCCAGGAGGAGACCCTCCCCAGGAAGTCAGCCATGCAGGCACCCTGGCCTCCAACTTTCAGAATCAGGGCACAAATGTCCGTTGTTTAGTTCTAGCTGGTGGTACTTGGTTAAGGCAGCCTGAGAGGACTAAGACACCTCTTTCTACCACATGAGTCAGGGGGCAAGGAGTGTCAGCACTAAGATGACCATGGCCATGGCCCGCCTGGCCTGGCTTAGGTGTCAGCCCGCTGGTCAGGTGTTGCAAGAAGATACTAGTTTTTACAACACTGTGTTTTGAAAGTGACTTAGAATAAGTGCCTGTTGTGAAAGGGCGCACTTCCTTTCATTAACAAAACCTAAGATTTTTATTTTAGGAACTTATGAGTGACACTAACATACATTCAGCAAAAAGGCTCCCTAACCTAACTTCAGTCTACTCAGAGCTGCATAGCTGTGCATAGAGGGAGGACCCACCTCCCTGCCCACTGCACGAGCCATGCTGCCCATTGTGCATGGGGCCGAAGGGCATATGCTCTGAGCCCTGTTATTTCAAAACCTGCTTCCTTTTGCCTCACTCGGTCCCACACTTGGGCACAAATCATTGTATGTTCCTCTCAGGAGTTCAGTGTGCAGTTTGTTCTCCTGTGCATACATATTAATATATGTATTTTCATTGATTTCAGAGGGAGAGATACAATCATCAATGATAAGAGAACATTTATTGGCTACCACACTGGAGTTTGAGGGCTGGGGGACATGGAAATAGCAGCCATGTGGCTGGAAGGACCCCGTTATAAGCTGCCACACCATGGCAGGGTGTGACAGGAGCCGCAGTGTCCCAGTCTGGAGAGCACAACCCTGGCACACACTGCCCCGGGAAGGAAAGGATAAACACTGGGTGGACAGAAGCTGTGAGAACAAAGAAATGACCCTGTGACTCCACATATCAGAGCATCACTGACAGGACTTACTTCCGCCACAAGGCCAGGGGCTGCTCCGGGTCCCTCTCAGCGGGTCCCAGGGAAGCGACGAGTGCGAAGGGCCAGGCGAGCAACATCATGAAGGCAGCAAGCAGCAGCCGGATGGGAAAAAGCGTCAGCGTCATGACCGCAATCTGGGGAGACAGACTGAGGTCGTTCCAGAAGCACTGTCATCAGGGAACCTCTCCTCTGAAATCCTCGTGTGAAAGCTGCCAGGCACCGGCGCTAGGCCTGCCCTGGTCAGGGTACTTTCATCTCAGGAATAGCCAGGTGGCTGAAGCAGCAGCGACACCCTACCCAGGTTACAAGGGACCTGATACCCCTTTTGCACTCCGTTCTAAAGTCACCCATGCAAGAGGCCGAGGAGCAGGGTTGGGGGGTTCTCTTGAGGAATCAACAGCGCTCCATCCTGACTCCCACACCTGCAGGCAGTCGGAACCTGAGTCTTACATGATGCAAGGACACTTGCCTAGCACTAAGATGTCATCTGTGAAATAGCCAGATGGCAGGGGTGGGGCTGGCAAGAGTAGGCCTAGGAAGACCAGAGAATTTGGGGGCCTCCCAGCCCGAGGAAATTATAGGGCGCAAGCCCAACAGAGAATTTGCCACCATGGGTCTAATTGGGAGGATGCTGGGAAGATGGGTTGGGTTCTGTGGGCAGGGGCAGGCCCTGCAGGTGAGGGGATAGTGCAAACCCGGGGTGGGAGTGGGAATGATGGACACATGGGTTCAGCGGAGTGGTCGAGTCCAACAGTGTCCAGGTGGATGGACAGCTGTCACTAAAACAACTCCATGCACAACTCGATGCTCTGGCTCTGCACCAGCTGATACTCAGGCAGTCAGTCAGAAGTGGACCGGGAAGGATGACAACTGAAACTTACAGAGACGTTATGACCCATAATACACTGTTCCATCATCTGCAATAATACACACTTCAAATATGCAGGTTTGGTGCAGAGAAGACAGAAAAGACAGTTCTGTGGTGAGGTCTCATGCTGTCTGTTGGCCAAGCCTGAACAGCCCCACCTGCCTCACCTTGCTGGGCCCCTGTCACCTACAACTTGCGTGCCTGTGGGCTGTTCCCTCAGCCTCTGCAGATTCCCTTGGGCCCCCCTCAAGAGCAGCACAGCCCAACATGATACAATGCCAGCCATTTGAGTAATTATTAATTTCCCAGTGGCTACCCTTTAAAAAAAACAAGGTGATGAAACTTTATTTAATCCAATATACCTGCAATATCACTTCAGCATGTATTCAATATAAAAAATTATGAGGTAGTCCATGCTTTTTTCATGTCTTGGAAATCCAGTGTACGTTTTATGCCCATGGGACATCCCAATTTACACTCACCTCGTTTTAAGTGCTCAATAGCCACCTGTGGCCACGGCTGCCTGTTGGACAGTGCGGATTTGATAACCATGTTTTGCAAAGGATAGCAACGTTTAATGGCCCTTCTCTCCTCTTCTTGCAGGAGCGGGGTGGGGAGAGCCCAGCGGGAAGCTCCTGTTTCAGTAGGAGGCTGCACCTAAGCGGCCATCCCAGACCTGCTGTCCTGTTGGCTCAGTGTTCATGTTTCCCACTAAGTGGTGCTGCCTCAAGGCTGTCAGGAAATGTGTTTTACTGGTGAAAACGCACCTTTGCATCCTGGGTTTCTGAGAACTTGGCTTTGCTTTACATGGTGACTGGGTGCTGAACTTAATCAGAGGTCTGTGTCCAGTGGTTGAACTTGTGCCTGTCCTCACTCACAAGTGATATGTTCACAGTTTGTCTCACATTGAAACCTTAGTGACAGTGCTGCGAAGTGACACGTATAGTTTCTTTTCTTACAACAGGGGTAGGGAACATTTTTTTTTTTTTTTTTTTTTTGCCAAGGGCCATTTAGATATTTATAATAATATCTGCGGGCCATACAAAATTATCAACTTAAAAATTATGTTGCTATGGAAAAAGCTCCTAGATTTATTGAATTTCAAATTCCAACTAAGGTTGTCTTGCTAGGGCCAGATGTCCCCATTCCCATCTTAAAGGAATTGTTAGGATTAAGTAAGTAAGTAAATAAATAAATCTCTGGGTCTGCCTGTGAAAACGCCTGAGACCGAGTCATCATGATTCTCGGTGACCTGACCCCTGGGTCTCCTCGCGTGCTGCCTCCTCTGGGTGAATCCTCAGGGAACAATATTAGGATTTCTGCCAGCTGCCTCTCTAGAGAAATTTCTACAGGGAGTTCTGACTGCTGTTTCCATGTTTCTAAGACTACTGTTTATCAAGCTTTCTCTTTTCTCTTGGTTTCATTTTAGTACTTTTGTCAATGAGGAAATCTCCAAAGTTCTCAAACTTTTCCTCCCCCACTAAACTTCCCAGCACGAGTGATTTCAGGATAACTGAAGCTGCCCATGACATTTGTCGTGACTTTTAGATCAATCCTGATCTACAAGCTCATGTTTAGATTATTTGTGCTTTCTAAAACTTTTCAGCCTATATTGACAGATCTTCTATTTTAGAACCAGTTTGATACTGATTCTGGCTCTTAGTAGAGTGTCTCCTACTCTGAGTCTATGCTAACGGTCTAATTCACATCTAGCAGTAAAAGCCAAGAGCATTAATTTCAGAAATACCTTATTTCCCAAAATTCACACTGAGAACATACAACTTTAAGTACCTCTTTAATTTAAACCCATAAGTTTATTGCCTTTCTTTTATTTTTAATATTTAGTTTACAATATTATATCCTTTTCTATCCTTTGTGATTATTTTAGAATTCTGTTGCAGAGGGAAAGAGATTGCAATCTGTAGGTGACACTTCCCTCCTGTTTCTGAGATGTAACCCTCCTCTCTTCCCCCTTCTCCCCAGCCCATGGACTGCTCTCACTGTTGGGGTGCCCTCACTTTTGGGGTGCTGGCTGGGAGCTAGCTCAGCAATCCTGCTCTGCCATTAAAATTGACAGCTGGGCCTCTCTTCTCAATTTGCAAAGATAGCAAGTTAAGGAGAGTTTACTATTCCCATAAAATGCCCTTTTTCTGGTGCCTGTGCTGCAGATGTGTGAACAGGCACAGTACCTGAAAATCCCAGAAAGTCTGCACTTGGATGTGTGGCATTTATACCACACCCTGATCTGCAAGCATTTTTTTTTTTAAGTATGTTTTTATTGACATTATAGAGAAGAAGGGAGAAGGAGAGAGAGAGAAACATCAATGATGAGAGAGAATAATTGACCAGCAGCCTCCTGCACACCCCCTACTGTGGATAGAACCCAAACCCAGGCCATGTGCCCTGATTGAGAATCGAACCTGTGACCTCCTGGTACACAGATCGACACTCAACCACTGAGGCACACCAGTCAGGCTGCAGGCATTTTCTGTTTCCAGGATAGTTCCTACTATAAATTGGGTTCAAGAAAGAGCACGTGGTGCCAAAACCAGTTTGGCTCAGTGAATAGAGCATCAGTCTGCAGACTCAAGGGTCCCAGGTTTGATTCCGGTCAAGGGCATGTACATTGGTTGCGGGCACATCCCTGGTGGCGGAGGTGTAGGAGGCAGTTAGTCGGTGTATTTCTCTTATCGATGTTTCTAGCTCTCTATCCCTCTCCCTTCCTCTATGTGAAAAATCAATAAAATATATTTAAAAAAAAGAAAGAATAAAGAAAGAGCATGTGGTTTCCAGCACCCCTCCCCATGTGTCTGGGACCTGCAGACTGGGATGGAAGGCAGTGCCTCATTCCATTTGAACCAACAGGAAGAAGCTGTTGAAACCTGGTCAAGGGACAGGAGCCTACCCAGCACCCTTTACTCAGGGCCAGAGTGCTGCTGTTATTTGATTAATTAGCAATACATGTTCCTGTAGCCAGCAGCCATGGGGTCCACTCGGCCATTCCACATGGGACACAATATGTGAACCTCAGGAAATGCATTAGTGCTTCTGCTCCTGCTCTCAGGGTATCAGGTACAGTCCTGGTTTCTGAGTTTCTCAGCAAGCAGGGGAAGGATAGGCTTGACCCTCTGCAAATAGACAAGCCTCCAATGACAAGAGGAGTGGGCAGGTGAGACATAAGGTAGACCAGGTTGAACTACCTGGCTCCACCTAAAGGATGAGGAGGAAGTGGTTCTATTGATATGTATGTATGTATGTATGTGTGTATGTATGCACCAAGTATGTACGCACTAAATATATACAGTATTGTGTAAACTGCAACCCCACAGGGTGCAGGGGATTCCCAGCATCTCAAGCTAAGAGCCCACATGTTTTCTGGTGCTCCACCAGGTCCTCAAGGCTCGGCCTTCACCTCGCCCAAGTACATGGCCTGTGTGTTCTCTGCCAGGTGAGAACTAAGGTAGGACTTGTGTGAGTGTACCTGCCAGCTGGCAGCCCAGGCCCGCTACTCAGGAGCGGGGTGTGGGCACTCGGAGAGGCTGCTGATCACAGTGTTGCGGGAACAGAGTTGGATGCACCAGGGACAGGTGAGCAGAAGACCACTTGTGTGTGACAGACCCAGGGGCAGCCAGAGGGAGGAGCTGTGAGTTAGGAGGCACTAAGGACAGGTCTTGAGGTGGCAATTCATTTCTTTTCAAAGATGGTAGGCTTAGGTGAGCACATAGGACGTGGACAAATCACTAATGGGTGTGGGTCTTGGGTGGGGGTGGAGCCTGGATTAATGGGATTGCTACAGCAAATGTAAGGATGGGATCCTAGGGCCATTGAGGAGAAGTACCACAGGCCAGGGCCCAACCCTGCTCCCAGCCCACAGGGTCCCCACATGCAGGCAGGAACTAAAGGGAACTGCTCACCAGCTATGGGGTGCCTTTTAAAACAAAGGGAACAATACAACAGACATATCAACTATCCCAATCAGTTAACCCCCAATCCAATCCTCCCCCCAAAAAAAACCAAAACAAAACAAAAAAACACCACCCACAAAACAACCACAATAACACAAACGAACAATGGCACATGTGCACCAGGGGCAGGGCATGCTAGTGAGAAGCAGACAGGCAGGGCTGCTGCTTCAGGGGGAGGCAGGGAGAGTCCTGCCAGGGAATGCAGGGTGTGGTCCATGTCCCAGAGAGAAGGTACCCACAGTGGATGGGCAGGGCAGGGAGGGAGGCAGCTTCTCAAGGTCAGTCAGCTGGTTATAGCAAA